TCCCAACAGACAGCCACTGTAATGAATTGCTCTCATTCCATTCCTGGCTATAGAAGGAGGCTCATGTAAAACATCCAGCAACAGAACAAAAGAATAATGATGCTGGTCAACCATCATAGTCAGCTCTGAACAAAAAGAAAAAAGGCTAGAATCTTCAATGGTGCTGAAATTTAGTTGAATTACTTCATTCCCAGGGAAATCATTTTGTTAAGTCAGAGATGTGAGGGTTCAGATTCATTCACATTCGCACAAACACGTTACCTGCAGATGTTTGAGTGCATGTGGGTGTCAATACATACATCCAGCTACATGTGGAGCTGTGGTGCAAATGCAGATGAGCATTTTTGTTGCTTTGTGTGCTAAATTTCTGCAGTATTTCTTGTCTTTTTGTCAAGGCGTCACTCAAATACAATCATTTGTTTTTTGACTCTTTTCTTTCTATATCATTTCCGAAGTAAAAACAAATAAATCTCTTTTTCTTGATAAGAAGCATCACACAAGAGCTGTCTCTTATACATGGAAAGGGTAGCAAAATGCAACCAGCCTTCCAGATGAAAATTTAAAGCATATTTATTATTCTTGGGAAAGCCCAGATGAGTTCAGTCATTTGGTTTCTAGTGGAGTCTCGTGGAACAGAGCACACCAATCTCATTAGTGCCTCTCACACCTGTCTGTATCTTTCACAAAAACGAGACAGTAACGAAGCTGAATGCAAAGCACAGCAACCCTCTGCAAACCTGCAGTAGTGTTTGATGTGACAGATCACAAAAAGCAGCCCCTGTCAAAAGTGGATGTACAGGGAAGGAAAAGGACCCCAAGGCCAGAACGCTGTCCTTCAAAGGTATCATTTTCCTTTTTTTCTATTTTAATTGGGGTCTATTAGCATCTTAAGAAGAATTAAACTGCCAGATTTTGCAGTGATTATTTTTTTAAAGCTTTTATTAGGAGTTATCCTCATTCAGAAAAGAGTTATCCTCATTAACTAAGCGTCATCACCATCAACAGAGAAATGCTACACACAAGCCTGTGAGGGAAATCAGGACTTTCCCTTTTTACATGACTAAATGAAAGTGATGAGCAAACAGATTAAGTTGGACAAAAGGACAGCAAGTGCTCAGCCAGAACTAGGAAGGAATTGAAGATGTACAGGCACCATATTCAGCCACTGGGACACGAGCTCTGCCAACCCCACACGAATATGGATGACAGAAAACTCAAAAGCTGAGGTCTCCCTTATGGGAGCTGTACATTGCTCAAACCAAACAAACTGTTCCATGATCTGTCTCCTTTCGTAGCCTTTACCAATTAGGCCAAAATTCTTTGTCTTTTTCTTTCACTATTTAAATTGCTGGCATTATTAAAACAGCATGCTTTGTACAGCTTCATTTCTAGTGCTGGTAACCTTTTTTAGGATTAGGGGGCTTTGTCCAGGTAACCTGCAGTTCAATTCCCAACACAAGAAGCTTAGGAGATCATTTTAACTGTTCATCTCTTTCGAGTTTTCCTCTCCTATATTTCTGCATTGTCACTGCCTTCAGCTATCGATGTTCATCAACTCTGAAGGCCTGCACAGAAAGCAACACTCTTTTCTTGTTCTGGCTGTAAAACATCCAAGATATCTAGAAATAATTAGTTGGACAATTATAACACTGGTATTGATGACTTCCTATGTTTCTATGTAAAATTCAATAGCTCTCTATATAATTTTAGACTTCACTTAGGTTTAAAGAAATAAGCTAATGAAGCAGACAGGGAAAACAGGAACAGCTAGCTTTTATTCACATTTCAGGGATAACCAATACTTCATACTCCAGCTGGCAGAGCTTTATACAGAAATCAATATCTCTGTGAGAAATGCTTTCAGATTACACGTGCACAGCACAGCCGAGTCGCACACCCCAGCTCTCTTTTCCAGTGTCCAAATTGTAAAGCACAAGACTTTTTTTTCTGCTGTTGAACCCGACAGATAACAACTGCCGGCACTGAAATAACAGCAAGGAAGCATATGAATGTGATTAAAGTAGAGAGCCTTGAGGGAAGTGTTCAGAAAGTGTTCAAATTGAGAATGCATAGGGAGTAGGAGAACAGAAACAGGATTTGGAATGACTTCCAGGATCCACTGAGCAGGCAACTTCACCTTTCTGAACCTCGAACCCTCTATTTGCATGTCAATATTACCACGCAAAGCTCTTCACAGAAAGCAAATGGCCATGCAAGCAGCTTTGGAACTCTTCGACTGTGAAACAGCAGAGTTTAAGGCTATTTCCTTTATAAACCTTGAAGGTTCAGCATCTCAAAAACCACTAGTTTCCTATAATCCTGAAACTGAAGACGAAATAATTTTCTATATTTAACATTTTACAAGAATTTATTTACTTTACGGCTTTACAGGTTGGATAGCTTTCCAAGTGCATTCATTTCAGTAAGCATTTTCCAAGATTAGTGATCTCCCCATTTTCTTTTCCCTGTTCTGCAGTTTTTTTCCAGCTCTATTTCTTCTGAAGCATTAAAAGCAATGCAAGACCTCTGTAAATTTGGTTTTTAACATAACAGCAAATAGCTACCTCAGGACAGACCATGGACAGCCAGAGCACCGGGTAAGGAAGCAGAATCCAAGACTTTTCTCCGTGTGTCATTTCCCATTACTTGGGGGTTTTAAAACTGCCAAGCAGAGGCAAAGCCAAACATCACAGCAGAGAACTCCCAGCCAGAATTCCTCTCCAGTTCCATTTGCTCAGCTCCACTTGGCAAGATTGGAGACATGCAATTGGCTTCATCTTCCTTTAAGCCACTTACAATTTACTGCGTTAGCTTCCAACAAGGCAGACAAGGGGAGTGTATGTCAGCAAAAGGCAAGAATGAATAACCTAAACCACACCAAGGGCAGCATACAAATAACCCTACTTAAACACGCAATCTTGGTGTCAATTATTTATTATCTGCAGCATTTGGAACATGTGCTGTTGCTCAAGGTTGAGACACAAATACCAGGGCAGTCACACCCCAAAAAGAAACATTTTTTTCTGCTACAAAATACTGAAATACCAAATGAGCATCACCCCAACGTACCTGGAACTAATATACATTTCCTTTCTGTAAAATAATCAAAGCACTCCCTTGAATAACAAAGGAAACCCAACATAAAAAGCACAAACAAGGCAGGGAAAAGAAATAATGTCTGCATTTAAGAAATGAAAGGAAAATGCAGAACTGAAGAAGGAAATCAGGGGAGCCAAAGAAAGGGGTTTCAGAACAGAATTTCAAGATTTATGCAGCTGGCTGTGTACACAAACATCTGCATTTCTCAACTACAGGAACGTTATTTCTTGGCTTAGCTCCACAGTCAGCTAGAATTTCAGAGTCATCTTGATCACAATCAGAGGTTATTTGTGATGCTATTTCAATGAAGGACAGCAGCTGAAACTTAGCATTCTTTCTACTTAATGTTCTCAGCAACATGTTCTGTTCTCTGTAACTGATTTTATTTTATTTTCCCTCTAAGCAATGATACATTGTATTATAATATGCTTCTGGTATTTTTTCCACAGTGCAACCATCTAGAATTACATCTTGTAACCTTGCTTACTAATATCTAGTCTTTTAGTGGCCATGATAGTGACAAATATTCTCAGAATCTAGGCAGATTTCTAAACAATCTTTTGGACTATGAAACCACTGTGAAAATTAAGACATACAACATCCACACTGCTGTGCGTAGCTCCTGTAAGACCTGAGCTTTCCTCTCTAGGCTCAAAGAAAATTTTGAGGGATAACATATTCTTAGTGTTTATCTGAAACCTTTTTATCATGTATTTAAAGCAGTCATCATCATAAATCTCAGTTCCCCTCCCCTCCATCCGGTTATTACACACAAATGCAGAAGGAGGCTCTCTATTCCAGTGCTAGTATTTTTGTATCTGACACATGTATTTCATTCTGAACTCCCTGCAGTGCTGTTTCCCTGGCTGTATTCCCAGGATCCTGTATTGCATTCTCTGTGCAGGTTCTCTACTCTCCTTGTTATTCCTCTCTCAAGCATCTTTAGCTAGCATCATGTCTCTTTATTGGCTGGAAAATCTCAAATGTCTGTGGATACAACTAAACATTTAAAGCTGAGGATTTACACACCAATTAACTGCAGAACAAGATCTGTGTTTGGGTTGTTAAGATGCATCATTTCCATTAGGGGCTACAGGGTTGCATATCTTAAAAAGAAAAAAAAAAAAAAAGCAACAAAAGCTTGAATGAGAATTCTCTTTCTGGTTACTTTCATTGTTCTGTTTCACAGCCAAACCCTGCAGAGGCTGTGACAAATTGCGAGGTCATGATCAAATTTAATAACATCTCACATTCCCCTGGAAATGCTACCAGGGAGCAGACAAAAGAAAGCATTTGCCGAGCTCCTAGGGGAAAACAAAGTATTTGCTCAGAAGGCCTTGGTATGCAGATGGTGTCGCTGCCTTTAGAAATGGGCTTAGATCTGAAGTCAATAGGAACAAGCTGGTGGGGATGGCACGGAGGGAGGGAACATGCCGCAATGTAGCTTAGGAGGACAACCTCCACACAAGATGGTAGCGCTGGCTCTTTGTTCCTGCAATTCTGCTGTGTCCCAGGGACAGATTGATAACTCCTCTGCTCAATCAATTAAAGGAAAAGCGATTGCTGTATACACATAGGGTGAAAATTAAGTAAGTAAAGAACAAGCTTTCAAATGGCCGCGTCCTTTTGCGAGCTGCGCATCTCCCCTGGCAGCCCGAATTACCAGAAGGCAGCCAGTGCCACCGCGTGGCCACTCAGCGCTCAGTTTCTTCTTCCCCTGCGTTACTGACCAAGCAGGATACACCTAAACACGAGCCCGTAAGGCACAACAGGTTCCTGTTCTGTATGCTGAATATTACAGTAGGTAAGTTATAACTGTGCTACAAGGTGAAAAGAGGGAAAACTCAAACAGGTTCTCAGCAAACCAGGCGCATTTCACACCAAGTAGACTTTGTACCAACCTGTGCTGGGCTTCAGCCGACTCTCCGCGAGCTCAGAAATTGCTCCAGTTGTAATGGTCTTCTTCAGTCTAGAAACTCCAGAAGCTGCTGTCACTCCCGGTTTTGTAAGCATATCATCGCTGCACGCCCTCTTCAGCTATAAGAAAGAGATTTTGTGAGCAACCAGAAGAATCAGAAATTGACTATTCCCATGAAGCCGTCCCAAAAGCCAGGTTCATGGGAGAAAAGGACCGTTTTCATTAGGTAACCCAGTGGAAATATTGCTAAAAATCCTATCTTATTTTCAATTTATTTTTATATAACTTGTATTGCATTCTAGATTTTTGAGAAGTGGGTTAAGGGACGATACTGTTTCAAGACCAAAGATGAGAAACAGGAACAAGTGTTTAAATTAGCAAGTAACTAAGATGATGGGAGAAAAAAGTCTACAGTAGTAGAGTACTGGGTATTGCCAGCTTCTCAGATGCTGCCCTGAACAGCAACCATTGGATTTCCTCACTGGTTTACATTTACTGAAATATTTAGGTCTCTGCATTTCGGTGCCAGCTGACACATTCCATGTCATGAAAGAAGAACTATTTGCCTTACATGCTGCTTTACAGTATATTTTTAAAAATGGTATATGATATCACTATATATTATTCACATGACTTATTGTACAAGAGAAAGCAAGGAACTGTTGTTGCTGTGCTGCCTTTCTTGGGACGGGGATTTGCTTTTAAGTTTACTCTAAAGCAGAACACTTAAGTACCAAATAATCTCAGAACTTTTGGTGAGCTGCTTCCCCATTTCTGTACCTCTCACAGCTTATGTACTTCTGATAAAAACCTGAATGCATTTCTCTTGAAAGTAAAGCATTCTAAAAGACCAAAGCTAGAGACTCCTCAGAAGGGTATTTTCCTATCCTTCACAGTTTGTGACACCTAAGCTGTTTTCACAAATCAAAACCAAATTCTTAGAGGTTTTTTAGTGACACAAGGGGGGTCCACAAGCCACAGGCTGAAAACCACTGCTCAGGTTGAAAAAGAATGCACATGATGATGAACGTTCATCTAGTTAACAGTTTCTAAACGTAAAATCTTAAAGCAAAATAAGATCTCTCTCAACTCCAATTCTTTCTCCTTTTTGTCTCTGACTCAGTCTGTGGCTTCCTGGACCCCATGAGCATGCAAGTTTCAGAAGCTGCTGCTGATCTGCTTCCGGAAACCAAACAATGTTTCACCTTCTGCCAGAAGTTTTTTCAGCTCCCCCTTAGAAGCAGAAAGGAATAATTTCTGACAATTTAGAGACCTCAGCAACCTCTCTACATAACTTAGTCAATGAATCCTCCTTTACAGCAGCAACTGTTAGCTTTTCCTAACTTTCTTTTTTCAAATATACTAGAGGGATGCTCTGAAAGCAATGCCTCCTATTTCATGATGTTGGACCATGATGTTCACAGCAGATGTTGGTGGCATAGCAGTAGAGGCTGAACTTCTCCACCAGGACTGACTGAACTTTGTTGCCGTGCAACAGATGGCAGCAGAGAGGCAGTCTGACAAAACACTGACATGCAGTGCACATGAGGCAAAGGTGCCTAATACCTCCATGCAGAAAAAATTGCACCTGTGGCATTCTTCAGTGCTTGCTGAATGATGATGGAGACCAAACAGAAGATGTGAGAACAGTGAGGCATTTCAGCAGTGATGTCATGGCCAATGGATCCCCTTCACTGGAGCAGATTTTTTTATTTCTGTTTTTAAACAAGTGTGGCATTCAGATTCACGTTCTTCACTGGTTCATAGCTAATGGTGGTGACTGTGCTGACAAATTGTATTTTGTAGCTGAGAATTTGCTCTATCAAGCAGTGCTATTGTGCTTGGTGCCTGCCACAGTTTCCATGGAAATAAATCGGAGGCATTACTTTCGGAGTGACCTATGTAAACTGATGATCTTGCATTTGCAGGTGTTCAATAGTGTGAAAATATTAGCTGTAATTAGGAAGAAAACCCTCTGCATTTAACATATATGCAAATCAATCGTATCAAATTTCTGGACTAGTCTCTTCAGCAGCATCCCTTAGAGGTGCAAAAAACAAGGCAGAAATGCTTGCACAGCCCCGACTGGATTCAGTACCTTGCTGAGCCGAGATTCGAAGGCGAGTGAAGTCGAGGACTTGGATGTCTTCATCCCTGATGAAGTGGTGGAAAGTGACTTTCCTCTGTCAACCCCATGACTTCCTTGCTTTGACACTGCACTCCAAGGCCTGGCAGTACTCTTCATTTTTTCTCCCTCCCAGTAACTCAGTCTACAGACCCTAAAAAAAAAAAAAAAAAAAAGAAAGTGTTAAAAAGTGTCTTTTCATCTGAGAGAGCAAAGCTGAGATACCTGGCATGAGTTTAAAGAGCTGAAAAGGATTGGTCAAATTTTGTTCCTTCTTTTATAAACATAAGACCTCAGCCTACAGTGTTCTTTAGTATACAGGCTGCAGCCATTCATACTTTTAACAATGACTGGAAACATGAAACAACACAGACAGAACAAGGATTTCTGTTGGGACTCTGCAAGTCAGAAACATCTGTCAACCACAGCAGAAAACCCACGAATGCCAAAGCTCAACAAAAGAGCAACTGAGGACACGTGTGAGAAAACCTACAGCAACTGAGGCAACGTTGGCATAAAAAGAAAACTCTTTCTCACTGTTAGATCTAGAACATCTTCAACTGAAATACTACTCTTTTAAAAAAGCCACATGAGAAGCAAATTTCCTCAGTCTTACAGAGAATATTATATCTTTAACCTATCGGTCAGCTGATGTTGCCACAGTGATGAAGATGTGTTTCGCAATACCAAGATCTACAAACCATGGTAAAAATAATAACTTCTTGCAAATAAAACAAAAAGCAGATCCACTATTCCTCAGAGATATGCTTATGCAAGAGAGAAATCCTGCCAGGATCAGGAAATAGATTTTTTTTTTTTTTTATTATAGCTGAGTTGCCAGCAAGAACAACTACTCTGCCTCTCTCAGTAAGCAGGCTGCTGAGAATTCAGTAGCTCAACTCCTGTGGACCTAAATCCATACATTTTCAACCCTCCATTTCCCCAATCCAAACCAGGAGCAGAATAAAATAATTATATCTATATTCCTGAAGTCCCACGAGCCTGCAGGGCTGGGAGTGGGAGGGAGAGGAGACTGCCTGCTATCCCTCCACACTTCAGTATGAGCAACATCTCTCTTCTTCAGCTTCAGTTCTAAAATAGACACAGGACGCAGTTACATATCAGTCCCGTGTTGACAGAAGCCAACTTATTTCTACGGTAAACAGGTAATATCCAAAGATCTACAAAGAGATCAAAGTCTCATCAAGGGGAAAGCATGAAGCAAGCAGTAAGTGCCTGCTGTTTATCACGCAGAAGTCCAGCTGGGCAGGTATGACCTTGGATGGCAACCCTGTGACAGAGGTGCCAAAACAATTTCCTCCTGGCTGAGTCAATAGAAGGGCTTAGGTCACTTTTTTATCCCACAGCTTACTTTCCGCATGATTTCACATTCGCAAATAGCATTCACTGAGCACATGGAAAGCAAATCACTTAAGGGACAAGACACAGTCAGCACTCACAGCAGCTTCTGTGTGCCACCATGGTCTGTTCAAGGAGTGCTGTGCAGCACAGAGGCGAAGGGAACATCAGGTGCTGTGCTGCTGTCTGACAGACCACAGCCAGCAAGTGGCAGCTGCTGTTTATCCTCAGTGCTTCCTGCAAGGTTTGCCTGCTTTCCCTGCAGCTCTAACCTGTCAGCTGCTCAATAAAGAAATTACAACATTACTGGCTAGCATTATTACCAACTACAGATATTCCTCCATTAAAATTCTTAACACATACACAGCATAGAGCCATCAACTGATCTCACAGAGAAGAAAGCAGTACCATTTCTGTTGATAATCGTACTGATCAGCTGGCTGCTTTGTTGAAGCCTGGACAGACACGTAAACCATATTACAATAAAAAATATTTAGCATCTCCAGACTCTGTGATCTACCTTAAGGAGCTTCAGTGCTTGCATGTTTGTAATAAACTGCTTTATAATGAGCATACATTCACTGTATTTATATGGGTGAACAAGCAATTACAGATGCAAGCTATCTTCCTGATTAATCTCCAAATTATGCAGATCTGGGTTTTTGTACAGTCAGTGGTTGCACATACCCGCTGGATTTCCTCATAATTACCTCATACTTTCTTGCCTTAAGATGCACAGATGCTTTCTTGGTGCCCAAAAGAATTTAATTCTGAGTCACCCGTGGCATTTTGAAGTTGCAGTGGAGAGAGATGCTCATGAGGACACAATGCTGGAAGCCAAAGGAGGAGGTACCAAAAAACAAAACAAACCTGAAGCCATATGCAGCCAGCAGCCTGCAGCAAAGCAGCTTTATCGAGTGGTGATAGCTGAGTTGTGCCATCTGGATTTAATAATAATGGACCACATCAAAGAGATGAAACTAACACTGAGAAGAGGATGTTTGGATTTGTTCAGCGTTTAGTTTTCACAAATTTATACGGGAATCAGCATTTGCGAAACGTGAAGTTGATGCTTCTGATGCCATTGACTGACCTGAACCTCTACTGCAGATAAAAAGGTTTCCATCTGTGAAGTGGAACCCCAGTATTTCCCACAAGCCTTCATTCTTCAAAGAATAAAGACAAGTTTCACACCTCTTATGCAGGTTTCGCTCTCAGGCAGGTGACACGCAGTATTAGAAGCACTGCTTCCAGAGAAGTGCCAAATAAAACTACTTCAGAAATCAAATAAAATGGTCCTGTGCTTTGATGGGAGCAGGAAATACATCCCAAGAGTTTGCATCTGCTTCTCTTTGCCTCAAAATACAATTTATTGCATTACGAGAAAATAAACCAAGAAAAGTTTAGTATCAAGTAATGGCTCATGGACAGAGTTAGGCAGGCAGCAATGAACTGCCAAGAAAATGTTCACTTGGGTATCTCCTGTGGCTGCAGACAGTTAGCATGCATGAAACAGAACCTGTGTTTGTGCACCAGTGGATAATGGCTCCCAGTTAGTGTACAATGCTTTGAGAGAAGCCTGCTATATTTGAAATAAATATCAGCGTTTCCTTGCAGAAGAACCCCAGAGAGATTTTGACTTGATTTCTAGGCTCCCCACAGAGGGAAATCTGGAAAATAATAAATAAAAGTAAATAAAAAGCAAATAATAATAAAAATAAAAGTTCCTTTACACAAGAGATGCAGTGAAGCTGCTGTCACAAACGCAATGACAAAAATCACTGCTCTTGCATCCCTCATGTCTCACACATTCAGATGAGCACACTCCTGCTCGCTCTCCCAGATGACAACTTCATAAGCAATGACCAGATTTCTACAATTTTCATTTCTTTCTTCACATTTTCCAGGAGCTTTCCTTAGGAAGCAAACAGATCCCAGCCCTGCCTCTCTCTGCTGTCAGCCAGAGCAGCTCTTGAGTGGGCTGCAATTACAGCCCAGCAGAACGCTCTGCTTGGAGCTGTGCTCTGAAAATGCACATGAACCAAAGACAAGGAGCAACCCCATGCTGAAGTAAGTGGGGGCTCATGCCAAGAACGTATTGCTTAAGAGCAGCAAAAATCAATTCTGTTACCAGTAACTTCCAGAATTAGACTGAAGGTGTTTTTTAAGAAACATATTTTCAATAATTATTTCCTACTCAAAGAACACTGGTGTCTGAGTGTCCTTCCTGTCAGAAATGGGCGCTGCAAATGAAATAACAGGAGGGCTTATAAAAATGGAAAGCTGGTCCTGATGGGGCTTTTCCTCCCAGTAATTCTCAGGATTCCCTGCAGGCATCAGTCTCTAACAGTTCAGGCCATACTGTACAGTACAGCCTAACTCACTGTTTTTTTTAAGGGGATTTGGAAAATCTCGATGTGGACTATCTTGGAAGTTGCCAGAGGAAGCTTTAGAGTGGAAAAATGGTCCATTTTACTTACAGTGCTATTGTTTTATTAAAGATGGAAAACCTAGACAATCCTTCATCAGTCAGTCTGCATGCACTTATTAATAAAAGTTTTCAAAACCAGCCTAGAATGGTTCCCATTTTACGGCTAGAAAAACTGGATACAGAATTTATTCCAACTCCACAGGCAGTCAGCATCAGCAGAAACAACAGCAGGTCCCTTGGATCTCAAGGCTTGGCTATCCATCAAAGGAGGAATCCACCCATCTTGATGAACAAACTTCTAGGAAACATTCTGCTGGCTGTCAAAGGCTGCTTTCCTCTGAATAACTAAATAAAATTAGATTGAACTGAACGGCAACAGAAATTTTCTACAACCGGGAAACCCAGCAGTTCCACTGCTCAGTACACAGATCTCAGTAACGTTTGCAGAAATTAATTTCCATAAGAAAGTCCCAGAGAAGAAAGGAGGACGTGCACAGAGTTCTGTACCCCTGTATTCCACATGATTTAGGTTTCAGTGCTCATCTCTGTGTGCAATGCTGCCTACTCTATAGAACAGCCCAGCTATAAAGCAGAATCATTCAAGTTGCTTTGGTCAAACAAATGAGAAGAATAATTGCCAACGTTCTTTATAACACTCACCTGTAATGAGTAATGTATGAGTTGAGGTTCATTGAGACCCATGAACGCCCATTTCTGAAAAATGAGGCCAAAAGGACCACCTTTGGAGAGAAGACTCTCAAAGGACAGCTGTCTGTTAGTCAGGTTGGTTGAGAGCCCCAGCCCAGTGCCATTTTCCTATAATTCATTTACTTTTATTGTATCAAGATGTCAGACTATTCCAGGACCTTCAGTACAAACTTTCATGAAAGCAAAACAATTCTCCTGTTTGCTGTTGTTGTTTTTGGCATGCAAACTTTGCATCATGCTCATGCTGTCCTCCTAACCTAACCAAACTCTATTATCAAACTATCAGCTGGAACACAGAGATGGACAGCGAGTTCCAAAAAGTGCAAGACCTTCCCTTCTGGCCTGCAGAAAGCTGTACAGCAGGACAGCCTTCTATGCTAAAGCAGAATGATTTTCTGCCTTTCACATAAATTCATTTTCAGGCTTGACAGATGCTTCCATATGAGTCATGTTTGGTTTTCGGGCTGATACCTGGAACCCAGCCAGGTCAACAACAGGGAAGCCCACAGTCTGACACAGGAATTGCCAGGGTGGGGGTTGCTTTTTTATGTGCTATCTGCAAGGAAGACCAGACAAACAATCAAAAACAATCTGTTACTCCCTTGTGGTCATCATTAGCAACTTTCCTTAGGTATCAGTTCCTTTCAGCTCTGTGTGTAATATTTCTGTCCTCAACATCCTCTTTTCATTTAGTTTCCATTAGCATCAAACTTACTGAAAGCATACTATCTCAGAGCACCAATCCTCTGTTACTCATCCAAACAGACTTGCTGGAACTTTTTCTAGTGCAAAGCTTAACTTTCCTTGCAGTTGCATTAAAAATCCCTCAAAACCACAAGTCAGATCACCCTCTTCCGCCCAAAAATCAACCCAGAGGAATAGGTAATAGGTAAAGTGTGCCAGCACCTCACACCTGACACTCTTGCTGGCCATAGAAAACAGAGAATCAATTTTAAACCTGACCCCAATCACTCAGGCAGCTGATTCCTCCGGTCTATCTCAGTAGACATACTTTCCCATTGCATTTGGGGTTGCATTTTCATGTTTTGATGGTAAAGAACAAAACAACAAGACAACACCTTGAGATTTTCATGTCCAGACTGCTACAGCAGGGAAAAAATGGTTGGTTTTATGCATGCCTCAAGCAAAGATGTTTTTGTGTTTTTGTTTTTTTTTTTTTTAATTTCAGTAGCTCAAAAAAAAAAAAAAAAAGAAAAAAAAAAGTAACAGCCAGGCAGTGAAAGAATCCAAACAGTTTTGCACGGAGTTAAAATCTTAGACTGATTTTAGACAGAAAACATGCACAAATGGAAAAGCATGCCCAAGGTCACCTAACTCATCACTGGAAGAATACAAAACAAAGCAGCACTCCAAGAATTTAACCATCAGTAGTTCTGATACAGCTGGAGGGTCACACCTCCAACCTCTCTGCTATTATCTGAAAATTGTTTGCTTTTTGAGGCGTTTTTCAAGGACAGAACAAGCAACTAACAGAACAAAATCTGTTCTTCTGCAGGATTCCTAAAAATCTCAGAAGAAAGCCTTCAATACAGCCTCAAATAAGAACGTTCTTAGTAGAGCACAGGGCTCCCTTCCTCCACAGCATGAGGAACTACAGCAGAGCCAGTTCCTCCCCCTTCCCTTCACAGCACCAGTGAGAAGCTCACAGCCTATGGACACCCCCCCTTTACCTCTCAGTGACAGTTTCTGCACCACTGGTTACTGAGGTAGGACAATCTCTGGTGTTTGTGTTGTTTAAAGCGTTTCCTGCTTATTTCTCAGCGTTCGTAATTCTCTAAAATAGATACGTATTAATCAGCGTATAAATACACCAGATGGTTATGAAGACATGTAAATAACAGCAGAAACGGTCCAAGTGATGACAGTTCCAGGTAGCCACAAAGGACGAGTTTCTGGTCAGCAACTCCACCTCCTGACCCATCCCAACGTTGCTGACAGGCTCCAGGTCAGCAACCTCACAGCTCCGCTTCTCAGCGCTGCTCAGAACAAAATGCTCTCTTCCCACACCAGCCATTGATGTCACTGATGATTTTTCCAGGCACAGACAGAGCAGCACACATCCTGCTGCTCATCCCTACACACATTCTCCCTGGAGTTTGTGATTTGTGACTTTTTTTTTGCTTAGTTAGATCCCATATAGAACACAGAAATTACAGTAGAACCCTCAAGTGCATGTATGGACAGAGGAGATATTTAGCTGTATTTCTTTTCTCCTTGTTTTACATTCCTGATCATTTATAAAACAGGACCAAAAATCATACAAGAAACCCACCAAGCTAACGCTGTGCTCTGAAACAGCTGAGAACCATCTTCTGTTTGTCCATGGATATTCAATCTTCTCCACCCCCTCCTTCCTCACGCTGATTATCTAACCAGCCACCACCACGCATCTCAGAAGAGAAGCTGTGCTACCTCCCAGTGACCTTCCATCATACAGAAAATACAGGGATAGGGAAGCAAAGATATCAGCTGATTTGTCAGCGTTTTGCTCGCATGTCCTCCAGACAACAGCAGCAGCTACCAGCTGGATGGCACGAGACCTGAACTGATGAAGCACAGCCATGTGCTGGCCTGCAGGAAGCAGTTTGCTGTGCTTCTCTGGTTGCAGTGGATGCTGTCTCATCCAAAAGGCAGGTAGGGTCTTCCACTAACTGCAGGACAGAGATATGAACTTGAATGTGGCAACTCTGAACCCATATGCACCGTGCTACTGATCATTGCACATCAGGAAAAAAAAAACCGTGCAGGGTAGGATGGAAACACTGAAAGAAGGGAAGTGGGCACAGGCAGCATGTTCTCCAGCTGGGAAAGCACATAAAGCATGGAAGGCATATGTACAGGTTGCACAATAAATGACAATCTTCCCCAGAAGGGAGAAAATGATGCCATGATCCTGAATTTCCTAGCTTCTGGAATTGCAATCGCCATCACCACAGAGAATTAGGTCACTCGGGGCTTTCCCCACCACGTCCCTGCCTTGAATATAAGGGTTTAATTTATGTTCAGTATATTGCACATTGAGAACAAAATGTTTTTGAACCATTTCAAAGTAGCGACTGCCCATTAACCCAGGTTCTTTGAACTGCTGCCCCAGTGAATGCAGCACAAAGAGAGTGACACATACGGTTAACACTTATGTTTTGTCAACTCATAAGGAGAAGGAAAAGGTTTCATTTTATATAGAGCAAGAGCTATATAATTGCTAGAGAAATGAAGAATAATTATAAGTGGTTTTCTGGGTAATTACCTGCAATTACGTTTTTCTGCAGCATAGGAGGATAGATAGAGGTACAAGAAAGGGAAGGAATGAGCCCATTTTTAGGATGGCAGAGATGCACAGCAGGTCACTGCACAGTACAACTAACTGGTACATAAACACAGACTGGCAAGTTTCCTCTGTGTGTGATGCACAGCTGGGTGACACCACAGCCAGTGCACTGCCTCGAGATTCCTCCTGATTCTGCCCTCAGCTCCAAAATATTGCCACATGTTGGGATGTTTCCCTGATTCCCCTTTTCCACCCATCACAACAGGGGGAAATAATTGAGATCTGGGAGCCATTCCTTAAGGAGATACTTATCCTCCGTCAAGGTGCTGAGAAGGCCGTTTATTAAAATTAGGAAATGGGGAACTCCTGAACTTTTACGAGTGATGTTGTAAACTTCAAGCTGAAAGGCTACTTTGGGAAGGCAACAGTAGTAAATTCTAAACCTGAAGGAGAAGCTAGAAGACTTTTGAATTTAAAAAACAGTCATACTGAACAGGAACTGAACAGATCTAAATAACAGTATCAGGGGTTTGTGACTATGAGTTACTGGACCATTGAGGGACTAAAGGACCCACTGTGGTGTGCTGCATAACGAAATGAAATTGTTTTAAAACAGAGGAAAGTGAAGAGGTAGTACATGTGTGCACGTTAGGATGAGGTATCCCTGCGTTAGTCATCTGCCACACTGTGAAAAAACCCAGCATATTTCTGCAAATCAGACATCCTCTCCACAGCTAAGCTTACAGGGACAGAAAGTGCTTCACAGTTTAGAAAGGGTAGAAGTGGACCAGCATCCTGGAGGTGAAACAAAGAACTAGTAGGGGACACTCATAAGAACTTAAGACAGCACACAAGAGAAGGTGGTAGAGAATCCCTGTTTTCAAACCAGTTCTACCAGTAATCCCTTACTGCTACTTATACAGAACGGTAATTAACATCTCCACAACTTTGCAAAGCTATGTTACATGCTATATAAACACTGCTATTATTACAAACATGCTTCAGCCCAGAGTATACTTCTAAGGCCACCTGTCAAAGTGGTACAGCTCAAGGGCCCTGCAAAACCCAGAGCAGCTGCATGCTTTGGTGTTACGGGATGGGACTGTCTGGCAGGCTCTGCAGTGCTGTCACTGGTCCCCTGCGGAGAAGCGAGCTGCCAAAGCTATTTGTTTAGCAGCTTGTTCCTTTCTGCCCTTTCCTCAGTGGGCTGCGTGAACACGCAGTAGCAGAGGAAAGCCTGCTCATGCTCCTGCTTGGTTTAACTGCTGGAACGCAACACTCGGCTCCCAGAGAAGAAAGGAGATGCAGGCACAGAAATAGCTTCAGCCCTTCTGTCACCCAATTCTCTGAAGCCACGCAGGAGAAAACACAGTAGCCAGCTCTCCAGATTCACTTTTTGGTAGCTGTCATGACTTCTAGATCACCCCCAGCCTATTTTCTGTAACACAGAATTGTTTGCACTCTACATATTTGCGTTTCATGCAATTTCAGTTTAATTAGAGTAAATACAAAAAAAGTACTGCTGAGCATTACAGGCTCATTCACTCTAAGACGTGCCGACATTCCTACAATCCTGATACAGATATTCCCAGCTTAGAAAGTAAAATACTTACAGTGAAAGCTTGTCCTCTTCTCTGCATTAAGAAGAAAACTGTCTCCCACTAGCTTCTGACAGCATGTGCAAGCCAGACTGAAAATACAGGGCTTGAGCGCTTCCCTGAGAGGAAAACCACATTGCAGCGAGACAGAGAGCTGCTTGAGAAATGATTCACATACGGAAGCAAGCTGGCTTCACCAGCACTTTGGCATTCAGCACACACACGCACACATATATGCACACTTGCTTACTCAGGGGAAAGAGAAATATTATATTTTCATCAAAGCAAGGCAGATTTATTCAAGAAAGCCATTTCAAAAGCACAGAGATGCTTCACGGATTAAAGCAGACCAAAGTTTTCTTTCAATATCTCACCATCCTTAAAAGCAGATCTGGACCCTGGGCAGACACACTAGCAGAAATAGCTGGAGTCAGTCCTGAGTGACTTTTCTTGAGCTGACCAAGAAGTCTGGTCTCTATTTAAGGACTAGAATGAGGGGGATCAACAACCCACTTGCTTAATCTTTCTGAAGAAAATGTAGTCTCTGAAAACAGGAAGGAAAGTGTCAGAGGCTGTGACAGATCAGGCACTGAGAGCATCACTGGTCAATGTCTGGTGGGTGCCAGGCACCCACGATCAGCTGTAAGCCCCTAAGCACTCACCCGACCAGGACAGCTGACACTGAGAGCTCAGATACCTGCAGTACCAACCTGACTCAGCCTGCTTTGCCAGTTTCTTCAGTACCTGAGGACGGACTGGGTCATCACAGGCAGAAGAATTTATCAATGCCTATTTCTATACATCTGATATTTAGAGTCTGAGATTATTCACAGCTCAGATAAGAGAGCAGTACTTCCTGTCATTCATATTAACCAAGCCATGGCAGGTGTTGCCATCTACACAAACGGCGTTTCTCCTCCTAAGGAAGCAACACTGCTTTCAGTGACACATGCATAGACAGTAAGGCAGGCTGCAAGAAGCTCTGCTCTGACACTGGACAACCTTCAGAGCTGAATAGAAATGAAAAGTACTGACGGCATTTACATACTTCAGTTTTGCTAGAATAGAGCCACACAATTTCCCCAGGCCCAACAAGACCAGACATACATTTGTTTATTGGGTTTTTCAGTAGCACTTACATTCATCTGATCTCTTCACTTAGACCAAAGAATTATTCAACACAAAACCTTCTGAACTGAAAAACTGCATTTCTGTTTAATGAACAAAGAGCCCAGAAACAGACAGCTAAAATGAGTTGGCTGAGGTCATAAAGAAAGCCTGCGGCCTGTCCAGGGCATTAACCATAATTACTTTCACACAGCCAGGATGAGAAAATTTCAGCAGCAATATGAATTTCTTTATTTCTTTGTTAAAAAATAAAAAAATAAAAAACAAACTGCCAGGTTCTCACCCTACCAGTAAGTCTGGCCAGCAGACAAACACATGAACAGATGGCACACTGGTTGCATGCTGGTCAAAGCCACCAGCTCTTCTAACAAGGGACAAAAGTTAGACTGAATCTCACTCACCAGTGCACCTTCATAACCCTGCATGTGATGACTGCAGGTGCTTTGTGGTGCAACCTGCATCACTGGTGTAGTTTCACAGGAACAAATAGGATAGCACATAACTTAAAGGAATGGGCAAAGGGCAGAACTTCCAGTGGCACAGCTCATTTGAGACTCAAGCATACATGCTGCATGGAAAAAAAAAAAAAAAAAAGCTCATAGGAGGAACAAATGAAAAGTATCTTTGCATTTACAGACATTTATACTATTTTTAACTGCTTTTGTGCATGGAACAACCTTAATTACAGAGACAGAGATTCCGTAAGCAAGGCTATTATGTCAATAACAACATCTTTTATAAAGCAAGTCTGTAATTCAGCTATAAGACTTGGTTTTATAACTCCAGACAGTAATGTGCCAAGAGTAATTACAAGGGAAAGTCTGCACCAGACAGCGGGTGTAAGTGGATTGAGGCCGTGGCTTTGGTCAGTATTTACTCCCCTTTCCTCCTCCCCCTCTGTAACTGATACAAACTTCTTTATTTTCTCAGTTCCACTACAGATGTCAGGAAGTTCAAGCAGCCAGCAGACATGTGCAGAATGAATCATGGGGCACCGCTTTCCATCCCGACAAAAACAACCGCTGTTCAGCTAACAAGATGCTGCTGCCGATCGAATGGGCGGATAGAAAAGGCAAAGTCCTGGAACTGCTGCCAGGAAGGCTCCACTAGCACAAGAAATACTGCATACACTCAATGGGGGAACTCAGATTTTCTCCTGCAGTGTCACTTCCCCATGTGTACACCTGCAGCACGTACCCTGTGGCACAGCTACCAGCTTTGACCTGCAACCAGAGCAAACATTTCTGCTGGAGGAAGCTAGAATCATTAAAGCTGGAAGAAAGCAGATATGATTTATGGAACATGGAGTGCTACAAGAGACAGAAAAAGCAGCTTGAAAGCAGCTTCCTTTGTTGCCTATTGCCAAAATTTCAGAAGACCAGACAACAACTTGAAAATTTCCAAGGGAACAGCCACAAAGTACGTCAAAAATAGAATTAGGAAACTGCCTGATTCAAATGTAAGAGTCTGTGAGAGGAGCCAGCATCTTGCAGTATTTCTGTCATCTCCATCCAAATCACTGAAGAGTTAATAGACATCTATCCACCAAAAAAATCCAACCCACAGAACATGACAGAATGAGGAAGGAAATCTACATGGCAAAGAAATATTCACAAGCTCTCTGCAATACATACATATAAAATAAAAGCCTCATTGCTTTTTTCCACACACGTATCTAGAGAAGTTGGCGTAGGGACATCTGAAAATTGCAGAGAAAAATTCTCAGCCCTAAGAGGCACAGCAGCAAACCAAAGGCAGTGTTACTACAGCTGCTCCTCTGTTCAAAATGCAGATACATCTCAGTGTGTGAAAAACGCAATGCTCAGCTCTCTTCCCTGAAAGGGGAGATAAGACTTCCAGTGTTCTTTCTCACTTAACTGTTTTATTCCAGTAATGAAATTTAAAAGACTTAGAAGAACAACACCCCTGGTCTTTATTGCTCTTCACTGTTAGTTTTCTGATGCATAGGCTCTAACACAGCATTAACAACACAGAATTACCATATTCAAGTTGCACAGCAAGTTCCTACTACCTACACAGGCAAAGTACTGCACAACCCGATTTGCTCTCTCTCTTTATTGGCCGGGACAGACTTCATGTTGGAGAAGCCAGCATTTGATCACCTCACAGGAGAGGAATCAGAACAGGCATCCATTAGAAAGATGAACAGAAAAATCACTTCTTTAAGTTTTTGCTGATCACTGACAATGGAGAGCTGTGCAGGAAAATTATGGATCAAAGATGGTGTGTGCTGGAGGCTGCCTTCGAAGCAGAAACCCCAATGGGATGGAGTAGGAACGCCCCATCCCACTGCTTTGAACTTCTTGATGCATTTCAGGGAGATAGAAATAAAAGAGCCAAGGTGCCAGCTTTGTTTTGGAAGGATTTGGAAGTGCTGACAGACCCTGAATGGAACCAGAACTGCAGGGCATGCCTGGATGCAAAGTGTGCATCACAGGGAGCCCAGCAACCACAAGAACTAGGACAAATTAACTGAGAAAAGTGATGAAGCACAAGGAGCTCAAACCCCAGAAGACTAACATGCCCTCTAATGAAGATCAGGATTTCAGAAGAAAAAAAAGCTATTTGCAAGATTTGGTTCTCTATACAATAATATCCTGAAGTTCCATTCTTGTTCTTACTCTGCATTTCTTATTTCTTTTTTTTTATAGATAGTTTAAACAGCACCAGCAGCTTGGTAACCCTTATCTGTTTTAAAGACAGTGAAACAAAGGCACCTAATTTATTGACAATGCATCAAGAGCTGGTAAGGATCTACAGCACTCATTGATTTCAGCCCCCAGCCAATAGGAAGTCAGCAGCTTTGCAGAAGCTGGGCCTGCTGTTACTGATAGGCACCCAGACCTGCAGCACAAAGATTTGGCTTTGGTGGCCTAATCAAATGCAGGAAAAAGGGGGAATCTAAATTAACATTCAGCAACTGATTGCTTCCAGTCAACTTGTTTAAATGACTGCACTCGCTGCTGCCTGAAAGCTGAAGCTCTCAAACACAGAGATTCATCTCCTCCAGCATTAATGGCTGTGATACAGCATAACCGTTAAGAAACCTGCAGGAGGGAATGCGAGGGACACCTGGGAACCCATCACTTGGGGAAGGCAAAAGGAACTACTGCTGGTAGAGAGCAAATGAGGACTGATTGGCCAAGAACAACCAAGGAACTTGGCAAAGGAAGCCGCTGTGTGGGACAGAGGGGAAGATTAGGAAGTTCAGGACAGCAAAGTTGCTCTGGTAGTGCCCAAATAGCAGTGCTAGCATGATGCCCAGCCACAGTATGGGGATACAGAGAAAAGAGAACATAGAAGGCAGATCATTTTTTTCTACTACAGACTGAATAAACCTGAATAGGAACGTCTGTTCCTGTAGTGAGTACCACAATTCCATATCCTTCATTAAGATTAATTAGTTCACTTGTTGGCAGTATCAATGGAAAGGTCAAGCACAGGATTGATCAAGGAAAGCCAAGCTTCCCTATTGCTGTAGGAGCTGCTGGGAAAGCCATGCTCCTAGCATGGCTCCCAAAAGTTTGGGCTCTCACTGCCCACATAACCGACCTCAGTTCTCTCACCTGAGGACATCTAATATGAGAAACATCAATCTTACAGCCTTCCATTACCATTAACATTCACTATCAAAGTGAAGAACTAATGTATTTCCTCTTTGATGTTGTGGGTAATCTCATTCAGAGCGTGCAAACAGCCTGAGCTGCCCCGCTGCATCTCAGGGAGCTGGAAGCCTTCTCCCAGCAAGAAACCCCTGCAGCAGTTACCATGGTAACACCAGTATGAGACATTCAAAGGCAGCTCTCCCATAATCACTTCTATTAGGGATCAAGAAGCTTTATTAAGAAAAAGCAGAAAAAGCTTGAAACCAGAGACCTGGGTCTGGTAACAGAGTAAGTGGACAGGGAGCATCCAGAGATCTGCTCTTACACCTCCTGGCTGCACACAAAGCGCTCGTTCCATTCAAACCTGAGGCAGCACTGAAGTTGGCACAAAAAGCTACTTTTAGTCATTTAAAAATTTGTTCCACCGCCACATTTCAGCAGCAATAGCTCTATGAACCCCTCCAGAAGTGCAACAGGGGGCTGTGCTGTGGCTCACTACCGCAGCAGGGCCGGGCTGTGGGACGTATTGCTGCCCATGGCACTCAGAGGGCCTTCCTTCCTGCAGGGGACATCGGTGGCACTGCAGGTCCGAGCAGCGCAGCACCACCTAACAGCAGCGGGGCAGCCCCAGTGTCACACTGCTATGTGCATGCAGGTACGTAAGAAGCTCACTTTGATGAAGAGCTCTCCTGGGAGAACTAGAGCTATGAATGTCAAACAGTGCATTTCTTGAGGTTTGAATCTGCAGCCTTCCAGACCGGTGGAATGCAACAAAGAATCTGCAGGACCAGATCTCCAGCCACCAAGTCACTGCGAGCTGGCTAAGGCAGCTAACAATTATCACCTTGAGATTCCCTTTCTGCTGCATATTTCCATGACAACTTTCCCCAGTATCAACTTCTTCACATTGGAAAGGTCTCTCAAATGAGAGTTTGGGCTCCTATAGCAACGGCTGAAATCCCTGGGAGATGATGATGTCTGAAACTTTACACAGATCTTTTTTTAGCCCACAACACGAGTGCATTTTAGATTTCTTAGATCAAAGCAAAAGTTTGCCTAGTATTGGGGAAACTGGGAAGAAGGAAACCGGTAGCTCACTGAAGTGGGACAAAACTGAAGGAACTGTGGTCAAAAAGGATGTTCACTTTGAGATATAAAATGTTAAAGAGAAGGAAGAGAGGATCAAACAGCTCAAAAACCACACATCCTGCTCCTTTTCCCTGAGCTACAAATCAGAGCCGCAAGGAACAGGCCTGCTGATCCTAAAAGGAGATCTTCTGTAAATCTGTGTCTATATCACTGCAGTCTTCCTGACCTGAAGAAAAACCAGCGAGTCAGGCTGGCTGACTTTCCCATTTTACCTCCCATAAACCTGCTGCCATCTCCACAATGTGACCTGTTATTAATACTTCAGCTGTCTGCCATCATAGTGACAGATTCTCCAGCATAGAAAGCCTTTTTTCTTTTTTAGTATTAGAAGAAAAAAATATCTGCACTATCAAACATAAAATTGGTTAAATTCATAAGCCAAGGGAAGCATAGATGTTAAAGCAACTAAATCCACTGGATTTAGGCATATTTCACAAAGCAATTTATTGCTGTAATGTCCTTTCAAAGCCAACAACTTAAAATCTCATAGGTAAGAAATCATTACATTTAGAACCTGGATGAAAGGTAGGAAAGCTGCAGCCTCAGTTCATGGATATGAGAACTACAGAGTGAGAACGTTAGGTGGTACTGCTGGAATGGAGCCCAGCACAGCCCTCTGTAGCCATGGAGAGCCTATGGGCTCCAGGAGAGGCAAGGACTGCAGAGCAGCCAGCTACCAGCACTGCAAACCTGCTGTGCTTTCTTCTGCTCATGGTACAATGGAAAGGTTTTCCTTCTTCCGTGAGATCAGTAAACCTGTCCTCTCTTCCTCTCTGTCTCTTGGGCTGCTGCAGTTCTGGGAAAGGAAAAGAGGCAGGCAGGTAGGTGTGAGAGTAAAAAAGAATGGATTAATCTCACTGTTTTCAGCTTCCATCTTCAGCCACTTCCTGCTTCAGAAAGGACTCAGGAACTGACAACGTGTTACAAAATAAAGTTGAGCTACAAAAACCTTTGGCTTTTGTTTTCAATCAGCACTGCCAAAAATGACAGCTGAAGCCTATTCAAAATCTTGGAGGGACACACAAAACCAGGATTTCAAGCAAAACCATTACTTCCAAGGTTTGAACAATCTGCCTTTCAGAACCCTGTCTGGAGAACATTGCAATGCAGGATAACAACCGAGTCACTGCACAGGCCAAGTGAAATACAGTCGTGTAACATTCCTGTATGCTGCCCTCTGCTGAAGTGCTGAGCACAGTGGGTCCATCACAGGCCTGAGCAAAGCCACCGTCAGCTGCACCTCATCTTGTCATCACACTGAGAGGACACACACAGAATGAAGAGGTTTCACCTGGGGCGAGGAAGAAACAACTTAAAATTTCACATGAACAACTCATCAGAGATGCCTCAGACTCTCAGATTCCCTCTCCAAGCCTTGATGTTCCATATGACTTCCCTCATGTGACTATTTGGATAATCCCATCAGGACTTTTCAAGCACATATATTTGCTCAAAGGTGGAACAGAGAACAGCACGAAGGAGAAAAGGGTAAATACCTAAAGGGGAAATAGAAATGTTTAATTCAATATACATATTCATAAATAAACATAATTGTTTCATATAAACGCAAGTGAAAAAACTTGTGAAATATTGTTATATTCACAAGCTAACATAAACTCATGATTTTGGGTTTGGAAACACAGAAAAGAAATTAAAAGCAGTATTCCAGCTTCACGTGTAAACTCACAGCATCAAATGCCAGCTCCAACATATTTTCTTCCCTTTATGTCTTCGGAAAATAGGCTTTGCAGATCAGCCCAACTAGGTTAGTGTGGATCAAAGAGAAGATTGAGATCTACAGTTCAGGGCTCCCTAGGGAGCTCAACCTGCCACCAACCTCCCCTCTTGTATGAAGATCCCATTGTAGTAGATATTAACAGCACGCTTTGCAACAGTTTCTGACCTTAAAATACAAAAAGCCTTGAAGAGTAAAAGAATAGCAAGGGAAGAGCTCTGGGCAGGTCTGATGGTCCAGCCAGCAGAGGGCAGTGGAATTTAAGAGGAAAAGAGGAAAGTTGATGAAAATAACTTTGTCACTTCACTTGAAGAGGTACTCAGTCAATCCAGGTTGTTTTTTGAACCTGCATATCCAGCGCAAACAAGACACAGGGCAAGAAGTTTAAGAAAGTGAAAAGAAAGAAGAAATAAGAAAAAATTATTTTGGATCTGTTGGATTTCTAAGCAGTCACCTTTCAGAGCACCGCATGGCATCAGGAAGATTTCATACTTAACCCACTACTTAAGAACATGGAGCAAATCTTTTACATCATTTTCAATTCTTGAAACAGATCTGAAGCATCCTGCTGAAGCTATCGTAGCTATTTCTCAGCTATTTTCTTACGTATGGGTAACAAAGTTAAACCAAGCCAATGTTGAAGTCACCAAGGCTATTTCCTCCAAGTGAACCCATCTGCAGTCTGCTGGGCTGAGCAGAGCACTGCTTGTGCTCCACATAACAGCAAAATGAGATGGAATACACGTGTGTGGGTGAAGGCTTTTAACCTTGGCAGCACCTCGCTCACTGAGGGGGGCACTGAAGAAGAGTTTCCCACTCCGTTACCAAACAGAGCAAGCATGGAAGGACTGAGGTTTCTATATGACTTGCTGTGAGCTCAGTTTGCATTCTGTGACAGAAGGGCAGACTTTCATTTGCTCTCTAAGCACCTTTGAAGTAAAGCTGCCTCTCCGTGCCTCCCTGCACCAGGGGCTGCTCGGATGGCCGCAGGAGATCCCCGGCACCTCGCACCTTCACACACCTCAGGAGAGCCCTGAGGGCCATCGGATGAAGCCTCGCCACCGCAGGGACCTCCTCAGGGCTCGGCCCGGTGCTGTGCAGGAACACCACCGCAGGACCCGCAGCTCCCATGGCGAGGCTGACCTGCTGCGCCCAGAAGTCACTCAGACGGAGCGGCGGGCAGGAACGGCGCCTCAGAGCTTCACGGCGCCTCAGAGCTTCCCGCCTCCCCGCACACCTGAGGCAGAGAGACCCCGCACTGCGGCTCCTCAGCCCTCCCGCAGCCCGCGGCTGCCCCCAGCCCGCTCCCAGCCCTTCTCCATCCCACTCAAAGCCGCTCTCACCTGCTGCCGCCTCCTCTGCCGCCGCCTACCTCCGCTGCCGCCCTGGAGGATGCTCGGGCAGCCGGAGCGCTCACCTCAGCTGCACCGGCCCCAACGGCCGCCAGGGGGCTGCGGCACGCCGGGTAACGGAGCTCCCCGCCCTCAGCGCGGCCAATCGTGTTTCTCGGCGCGAAGCGTGCCGGGAGCTGTAGTTTCCCGCTCTGGCGCGGCCGCGGCGCACACTGGGAGATGGAGTCGCGGCATCGCGCCTCACCGCGGGCGTCTCCCTCAGCGAAACTACGATACCCATAGGCACCCGCGCGCCACTCCCTCCGCGCTACGGAAGCCGCGCTGCCTGCGGCTGGAGCGGGTCGGGGCGCCGAGGACAGCGATGGCGGGCGCACCTCCGCCTTCCACGCCGGGCGGTTCGCAGCCGCCGCCGCCTCTGCAGTACAGCGCTCTGCTGCAGCACCTGGTGGGAGAACAGCGGCGGCCCCGAGTGTGGGACCCCAACACCTTCGGGGGCATTCCCAGCCCGCCCAAGAGCAAGGAGCAGAAGATGGTGGAGAGGGCCATGGAGAGCTGCGCCTTCAAAGCGGCGTTGGCCTGCGTGGGGGGTGCGGCGGGGCTGGGAGAGCCGGGGGGTCCCGCGGTACAGGGAGGGGTTGGGGCTGAGAGAGAGGCTGCGGCCCCCTCAGTTCTCAGGGCCCGTTCTGGCCCGTGGGCCCGGGGAGGGGTCTCCTTCCTTCCCTCCCCAGTTGAAGGAAGAGTGCTCCGTGCTGTGTGCCTGCAGTAAAGGAGGGTCAGCATCATTGCCCACCACAAAGAGGGACAGCCCCTCATGCTGCCCATAGGACCGGGGCAGCTCTGATCCTGTGAGGAGACCTCTGCTCCAATCCAGAGGTTCTTTTCATAGCCATCGTCTTTCCCAGGGTTCGTCCTCGGAGGAGCGTTTGGGATCTTCACTGCTGGCATCGACACCAATGTGGGCTTCGACCCCAAGGACCCCTATCGCACCCCGACTGCCAAGGAGGTGCTGAAGGACATGGGGCAGCGCGGCATTTCCTATGCCAAGAACTTTGCCATCGTGGGCGCCATGTTCTCCTGCACTGAGTGCGTGGTGGAATCAGTGAGTAATGACTCTCAAACATTACATAAAGTTTTATTATACACTAGTGATCACCTTTCACGAGTCCAAGCCCCCTTGCACTGTGATGAGGGATTGGCTCGTTTCCTTTTGCTTCTTGCTCATTTAAGCTTTTCAGTTCTAAAGGTTTTCAGAGCTGTTCTCTGATGGAATAAGCAGACCTGCGTGCAATAGTAAAGACCTTTCCCATTCAAGTCCTGGAATTTGGCATTACTTTTTGAAACCTGAGTTCCAAACAACTTGTTGTTGTGTTAAAAGATCAAACTGGGAGTTGCAACATGGCCATCTGAGCCTCTAAAAATTGTATGTGCAGAAAGGGATCCTTTGATGAAAGTTCTGAAATAATAGACCTGTTTTCATCTTGCCCCTAAAGCAAGAAATGACCTCGTGCAGCTCGGCATTAAAGCTGTCATCCATTTTCTTAAGTAGGAAGATGAGTCTGTTATGAATGTCACTACTGTCCTTTAATTGAAAAACACAATTAGTTCTTATGTAAAAGAAAAGTGTATCTGTTTGCACAATGAAGCAGAACAAACAGATGTTGCACTGGTGAAAACTAGCGTGCTCATGCTATTTCCATAGCTAATGTTTGCCCGCAGGGTGCTGATCCTCTCCCTGTGCTGAGCAGCAGGCTGCAAGACCAGGCTGTGCTCACAGCGCCTTTAAAATCTGTGAGCTGCTTCCAGTGGACAGTGCTGCCTTCTGGGGGCTGTATGGGTTCACCTGCAAGTCTGCTGTAGCACTGCATTGCACCATGCAGATGTGTCTCACCTCTCCTGCTGACCCGCTCCTTTCCCTCCTCCTGGCCGTGCAAAACCTTTTACGGTGCAGGGGGGCCATCTGCTGAGAGCAGAGGGAAAAACATCCTCATCTGAAACAGGGCTGGAAGGTCGCTTCATCTCCCTTGGTATTAGCACAGATGTCGAGCTGTTATTCCATATTTACTTGTTGTCTCTGTTTTTTAATTCCACAGTATCGTGGAAAGTCAGACTGGAGGAACAGTGTTATTAGTGGCTGCATCACGGGAGGAGCAATCGGCTTCAGAGGTTGGTGATGCCTGTTAGCAACTACTGTGATAAGGCAGCAGTTTGGTATGGTAACAAGCAGCATTTTTAAGGCAGCACACATTGCAAATCTCTTTGTATGGGGTTGTGTAGATGTCAGCATGAGAATGTGCTTGAAGTTGGCAGAATTGCCATCTCTGTCGTTTTCCTGTCATCTTGAAAGATATGTGTGGGTAGGGAAGGCTGGTTGTACAGGACAGGGAGATCGGAGAAAAATGAACAGAAGTGACTTGAAAGCAAATCAGGAAATGGTGCTAGCTATCCACATGCTTCTGGGGTGTCATGGAAAGGGAGCCAAAAATATGTTCTGAGCAACTCGCTGAAGTTACAGGTCTTGTGTTAATAGAGCTCTACTCATATATATTGTTTCACTGGCAGGAACTCTGTTAACTTGCACAGCTTGTACAATGCTTCCCTCCTTTCTCCCATCTCAAATCAAACAGGCAATTCTATTTAGCTGCACAAGAGCAGGAGCACTGAGATTTTCATCCAGCAGGACCTAGTGGGGACTTCTTGGGAAGCTTTGACTGTTAACATCTGGAGAAGAGCCCCAGGCAGGAAGAGAGCTGTGCTGCTGCTCAGCAGAAATATCAAACTTCACTTATTTATCGTTAAGAAAACAAAATCAAACAGACAGAAACAGTTTACAGAGCATAGGAGAAATGGAAATGCTCTCAAAAGAGCTTCTAATTGAGCTTGTTAAGTTGTGTCTGTCCTGAACCTAATCCTCTTAGAGCATTCAAAGTAGCAGCTGCTTTTGCTGTCCATCCTTGCCCAATAATGAAGTCGCTTGCTTTGAATCAGAGCACCCTGCAATCGGCAGTGGCCACTGCTGTTTTCTGTCCTAGCCTGCATAGGGAGACTTGGCAACACTGCACGCAGTCACTGTGTTATGCTAATCCAGATGTTGGGAGCTGCAGTCCCATCTGTGCCAGGTTACCCCCTTTCCCTTGGGCAGTGGCAGCATCCCCTGGTGGAGGACCGCCAGGTTCCTGCAGGTGTCAGCTTCTCAAGCCAATGCATTGTCGGCTAATTGCTGCGAGGAATCTTTTTTTCCCTGTTTTGTCTCATTCTTTCCCACCCTTTTGCATTGCAGCTGGTATGAAGGCAGGGGTGATCGGCTGCGGTGGATTTGCTGCTTTTTCCGCAGCAATTGATTATTATCTGCGGTAACGGCAGGATCCCTCGGGAGCAAGTTTTCCTCGCCTTCCAGTGCTGCTGCTCAGAGCCTGCATCACGGCAGAAGAACCATCAGGCCTACCTTTCCACTGCCTTGGAGTCCTGATCAGTGCAAGCTGGATGATGCTGGCTGCTTTTCCTGAATGACTAACAATAATCTGGCTGCGAGCCTTGGCATGCTGCTTCAGGCAGGCCTGCAGGAATGTGCAAGGATGGAGCCAGGCGCAGGGAGCAGTATCACCAGTACGGATCAGCTGACTGTCAGTTTCCAGGAAACAAGCCTGGACTCCGAGCTTTCTGGATCCTTTGGGTCTGATTTTGATTAAGTCTGTTGCTAGCATCAAAAGAGGCAGGAGGACAATCTTCATAAAGAAATGCAGTGGTTTATGTTATTGTGTTTGAATATGCTGCAAGTGTTTAGCAGCTCCTGGTTTGCAGCTTGCTGCTCTGTTGGGGAGAGGTAAGATCCTGTGGAGAAATAGTTTGTTCCAGGCTTTTCTTAAAATACCAACCGAAGACAAACCACCATCTGTACAACTTGTCTTATTTCAAGTACAGAACGAATGCCAGATTTCTTTACCATTTCCTAAAGGGGAAAAGCAAGAAGGAATCCTGTGCCTTAGAACCATGTGGTTCCTGGCAGATGAACAAAACAGTTGAAGGGTAAAAAAGAGGTTGTTGCAGATGTATAATTCTCTGTAGCCATTTGGCTCGCCTGATTTAACCTCGCCCTGGGAGTACAAGCAGTTCTGCTACTGCTTTATACTGCCACAGGCTCACACCCTCAGTTCCAGCAGTTTGATGGCTGGGCTTTAAAGCAGAGTTGTGAGAATAAAGACAGATAACAAGGCGTTCACTTAGAACATTGTCTGCTTCCCATCCTTTTCCTACACCTCCTCTGAGCTCCCCAGTGTTAAACTGGGAGAAAGTGAAACATCACTTCTGCAGAACACCGGTGCTGAAGTCAGAGCACCTGCTCATGAGCTTGGCTGGCTGCTCCTCTTTGGATTTGCATTCTTATTAGCTGTCTTGTTTTTCTAACCAAATTCTGTTTTTGGACCTCAGGGGATAATTTTTATATTCAAAATAGTTCAGATGCTGTTTTAACCTTCTTTGAGCCACAGTGCAAGGGCAAACACCCACCCTTGCAATGAAACAGCAGGATTTAAAGTGCAGTGTGAACATCTAATGGGGGTTCTCCCACCTGCTTCCCCTCTGCATTCAGGGTTTGACATCCCAGGACAGCACAGCATTTGCTTACCTGGAAGAGCAACACCAGCTGGGTATTTAGTGAGAAAGTGGTCACTTTGGAGGCGTGCTGTCTCCCATGCCTACGTGGAAAGAAGTGGGGAGACAGCTCCATGTGATCTATCAGCTGAGGTTCCCTATCGCCTGATCTCCCTTGCTGTGCCTGTTCAGTATCCTCAGGCCAGAAGCTGTGCAAGTCAGCTGAATTTGAAGCTTGAGTAATTCTGGGCTGATTAAACAAGCTGGCTCCAGACAGTCCAGGTTTTTTCCTCCAGAATGTACTGAAATGCAAGGATGTAGCCCAAACCATAAGATGTCTCCTAAAAGATTGCCTGGCACGATGCCTGTGCTTGTACCACTGGCTTAAAACACATCTAGCAAGATTTCCATGACTGAAAGAGGAGCAGTTATGGAGCCAAGGTGATCAGCTCGTGCAAGCAGCAACACCACAGGGCTCCTTTTGTGCAAATGTTGGGGCTTTGCGTTTTTATTAACAGGTTTTTTTTTTTCCTCTTCACATGGTTTACAGCCATTTAAAGTTTATAATCTACAGAAATTGAAACAGAACACAAACAAAAATATATCCTTAACAACTTCTGAAAGTCAAATATTAATTAACAGTTCTATTCTACCTGTAGCTGCAAAAGTTCACCCCCCTGCCTTCCCCTCCTGTGGGGACAAAGCCCATCACAGGGACAGCTGCCACCTGCTGTGCCGGGGCTGTGCGGAGTGGTCCCCGGCCACCATCACACAGGGGGATTTGGCTGTACACAGCCTCCATCTGGAATGACACTATGGTGGACAGAGACTTGGACACATGTAACAAATCAGACACGCACAGGGATCCGTTGTGCAGTCACATCTAGTGCTCGGCCTCCTTCCTGGGTCCTGGGCCAAGACAGACGCCTGGTTATTTTCTGCTATGCTGTTTCCCTTCTGTTTAGCTGGTAGTCAAGAGGAGCAGGGGCTGGAGTGTGAGCCCTTTAGAGGGAGACCAAAAGACCTCCCCTCCTGTAGTTGCTTTGCTGGTGGGGGGCTGGCAGGTGCTGTCTTCCCCAGGGAGGTGGGCTTGGGACATACCTGGAGCATCAGCCAGGCTCTACCTGGAACAGTCTGATAGTCAGGTGGGTAAAGGCAAGGCTGGTAGTGGGGACATGCTTGGTCACCTCTCATCCATCTCCTTTGGCACAGGAGTGCGTGGGGCCACTGCAATCGAGGAGGGGGCTTTCCCCATGATAACACAGAGTGGGCTCACAGAACAGAGGCTTTGTGTCCCAGCAAGCACCAGCACCCACCTGTAAGGGCAGGTACACAGCCATTAATGCAGCTTTGTGAGAAGCACTGCTGCCTCCAGAGTGAGAGCCAACGGAGCCCACAGGGGCTTTCCTCCTCCTTTCCCTAGGCCACGGAGGGGAACAAAACCTCCCCTTCCTCACTGGGGCTTCGGCCAGCTTTGTTGTGGAACGCAGATGGAGCTGCAGTGCATTGCAGCCCAGGGGTTGGTAACCCAGTGGCAGTGCTTGGCTGGAAGGGGCACGTGCAGAGCTAAGGCAGGGATACAGAAATGGCAGGGAAATACTCTTGCTTGGCAAGAACAAGGCCTAGATCCTAGACCCTGTGAGGGGGAAATTGTGAGACCTGCAGAACACCAAAGGAGGTAACCACCATGCTGCACCCCTGCAGGTGGAGCACAGGGAGCAAGGAGACTGGCCTGAAGCACCCAGCAGGGATGTGGTGGGGAGGCAGCAGTGCTCTGCTTTGTGCTCTCATGGATGCAGAGCCAGATCCAGGCGGGGGGTCCAACGGCGCAGGCAGCGAGGCAGAGCAGAACTGGAGCCAAGCAGCAGCTGGGCACTGGTGGGTGCTGCAGGCTTTGAGCAGGGTGAGATGAGGGCTGCTGGGCAGGAGTAGCGGGTGGGAAGGAATCCAGGAGAAAGTAAGCCAAAGGAGAAGCCTGTGTCCACAGCCCTTGTCAGTCACTACCTCATCCGTTGAACAAATATACATAAAAACAATTCTTGAACACAAGAAGGGACATAAGACACGACTACTTTACAGAGCGGCACGGCGCTGGGGCGGCACCAGGCCATCAGTACACGATTGTACAGGAGCTGCAGGCAGCACATCTCGGGTCCAGGCTGATGTCCTCAGGGGCCGCGATCCGGTCCATGGCCCTGGCAGGGAGCTGGGAGTGTTTGCAGCCGGTGCCTCCTCCCTGCGGGCTACACGTCCGTGGAGAAGTAAAGTGTGTTGCGTTTCAGCTCCGTGAAGGAGATGGGAGGATGCTGCAGGTAGTAGAGAAGGACCTGGACCTACGGTGGGCAAACAGGGGGTGTTAGGCCAAAAAGGAGAGGGCTGCCAGCATGCCCCGTTGCAGCAATCCCCAGTGAGGACAGACAGGGGAAGCCCTTTAGGGGCCCCTGCACTGCCAACTCGGCTCTTACCTGGGCCATCACATCGTGGGACCAGATGTCCGATGCCAGGGTGAGGTGTCCTTTGCTCTCCCCCTCTGAAGGTCTCAGCAGTGTTGGCCCAAAGACTGTGGCCAGATTGTGGAGGGACATTTTGTTGATGGGCTCCTTTTCCGCTACCCTGTAGGATGGGGAGAGAGCACAAATGCGAGCCCCCAAAGCTTCACCCCCAGCGCAGCACAGCCATGGGGCAATGTGAGGGAACAAACACCAAGCCTTCCTCCCCACCCTTCAGTCCCAGCATTGGCTGTTCAGACCCAGGGGCAGGGCAGAGAGCTCAGCCCCCTTCATGGCCTCTGCGGGAGCCGCCAGGCCTGGCTGGGAGCCCCAAGTATGATGTGGCAGCGGTGTAGCCTGGCCTGCTTCTGATCTACAGAGCCTCCGCCCTGCCCCAGCCCCTGCAGGGCATGGGGGATGCACACCAGCCCCTGGCCCCAGCTACACCACACTGGGGGACTGCACTGCCATGTCAGCAGGTAGCCACACTCCTTGGCTGAGCCCCAGCCAGGACAGCAGATGTAGGAACTGCCTGTGCCCAATTCTTGGGATGGAAATGGATTTTCCTTCCCCACCCCCAGCAGCAATCACTTTTTCTGTTTGCTTTTAGCCAAACCAGAGAAAAACAGTTCCTGATGTGAGTAACACGAGCTGCCAGTCCCATTCCCAAGCTCATAGCACACTGTGTCCGGGCTCTGCTGACAGCTGCATGTCCACCACTGCTGCCCTTCCCCAGTCTCAGAAGGGCTCTCCCTTCCCCACATGGAGCCGGCACAGGAGCTCCAGCCTCTGCCATGCTGAGATGCAACTACAGCAACATAAGGTGCTGCATGCAGCTTCAGGATGGCTCTGCGGAGCTGAAGACCCCTGCAGACACGTTATGGGGATTAGCACAACGTGCTTTGCTCCTGGATTGATGGGAAAGGATGCAGTACTGTTTTCTAAGAGGGCACTGCATGGTTCCAAATTGATTCCCCGCCCTCTGCTGAGGCCACAGAGATCTCATCCCAGCAGCTGCACACAGGTTGAGGCAGCCAAGAGCTGAGGCTGAGTTGCCAAAGGCTGAGCTGCCCTCCCTGCCCCGCACCGCCAAGCTGTCGTTACCTTTTCAAGTGCTCCAGCAGGAAGAGGAAAGTGATGAGGTTGGGGTCAGGCAGTGAGCGGAGAAGGTGCATCATGCAGTTCTCCTTGGCAGCAGGATCCGAGAGGGCTGGGGGCAAGGAGAGAGAGCTCAGGACAGGGCATCCAGCCTTGCATGAGCGGGATGGTGGGGAAAAGCAGCGTGGCCAGACCCCTTCTCATCCCCGAGGCCTTACCAATGCCCTCCATAAAGGCAGGGTACAGTCTGTCAGTGAGGAGGGGCTCAGGCAGCTCCCGGAAATACAGCTTGAGCGTGCCGGCGATGGCGTTGATGTCCATGTCACTCAACATCACCAGGATGTCCTTGTTATCTGGCCACAGAGCAGAGCCACATGTGATGCTTCCTGTTTGCCAACACCTGTATCTCCTCAATGCCCAATAATGGGGCAGCACAGCTGGGTCCCCAGCCCCATGGCACTCCAAGAGACAGCATGAGTCCCTATGGATGTGACCACCCCACAGGGAGGACGTGCACCAGTGTGAGCATTAATCCAACTTCTGACCCTCCTGCTGCTGTTGGGAATGGATTGTTTGGCCACGCCAGGGCTGGGCACAGCTGAGCGGTCCCCGCCTGCTGGGCCATGGAACGCGGAACAATTTTGCAAATCCATCTGCAACCTTACCCTGACTCAGTGTCTCCCTGGGAGCCGGCCAGGCATGGAGGCAGAGCACAGCCATAACATAAGCACTACCAAAAATAGGTCAGGGGTTGCAGGGCTCCCTTCTGGGGGCTCAGACCCCATGCACCCACCCACACAATTTGCAGACTCCGAGCCTGCAGGACTGAGGGCTGGAAGGGTGCCTGATGCCTGCAGATGGACAGAGCAGTCACTCACTCGCATCAAAGACAGCCTTCAGTGCCTGGATGTCCGTGGCGACACCGGAGATCCTGTAGATGCCGACCTCCTCAATGCCTCTCTTCTCCACCTCCTCGATGCACTGGCGCACAATGTAAGGCACCTTGGAGCGCTCACGCCTGGCTCAGAAAGGAGAGGTGTAAGCAGTAATTGCTGGACTCCACCAGCCCCATGTTCCCAGATCCCACAGGGAGTGGGACAGCAGCCACCCACAGCCCCACACACACTTTGTCACAACGCTGATTTTGACCCCGAAGACTCCGGTCTGCTTTTTAGATGGGGTCCTTTTGAGGCTCATGTCTCTGCTCGTGAACTTCATGGAGAACTCCACCTTGATCTGCAGGAGATGCCCCGGTTGTCATCTCTGTATCCCACAGCCTGGATCCCAGCTGGCAGCTCCCCTTGGGGAGGAACCAACGATCCCACCCCAAGGAAGGGGGTTTGGGTCCCGCTTACCCCATTCATCTCAATCACGTCCATGTGCCAGTTCTTGGTCTGCACAGCCTGCGGGTCCAGCTGTGGGGAGAGACAGCACAGGAGGGTCCTTGAGTCCCCACCTGCTGCCAGCCCCCCCCAAGCCGCAGGTGGTGTTGGACAAAAAGGGGACAATTCGGGGTCCCTTGGGTTGGGTGCTGAACCCATGTGGGATCAGTCCCCCCTGAGCCCCCAGCTGAACACACACCCCAGAGGCAAGAAATTTCCAAGAATCGGGACTATTTCTGGAAGCAGATTGACGGAACAGAACTAGGGCAGCATTTTCCATGCAGAAAAAAACAACATCTCCCAATAGCCAGGGCTATTTATAACCCCTGGGAATGACAGGCTCTGCTATTTCAGGCTTTCGGGCTAGCAGGGGACTCGGTGATGCCTCCCCTGGGCCGCAGCGAGGTTCTGGTGTTCCCAAGGCCCTGACACGGGTGGCAGCGAGGTGGCACAGAGGTGTCCCCAATCCCCAGTGATGCGGGACTGGGGCAGAGGTGACAGTGCTGATTCTGGACCCAAAAGAATGGAGATCAGGGATCTCATCCCTGGAGATATGACAACAGGGGTGAGGAAGGCTGCCACCAGCTCGCCTTCCCACAGGGATGGGGACTGGGATCAGGGGGGCTGCTCCCACTTGAGGGCATGGGGCTCTGCCGCAGCAGCCAGCTCTCACTCCAATGGCCTTTTGGGGCTTTTTGGTCCCCAGCTGGTAGCATTGATCTATCCCCATCGATCCCTGTAATGCACAGGGCAGGCAGCAGGGCAGCGCCCGGCACTAATGTCCCCTCGGGGAAGGGGACGGGACGTGGACCTGGCGGGGGTCCCAGAGCCATGTGTGTGCAGCTGCCAGGCGAGGCTCATGCCACACGCGTGAGGTCACTCCTCAAGGACGTTGGAGTTTCCTCTGGCAGCTGATGGCTTGGGAGATGCTCGAGGCAAGCAGCAAGATGTCCAGAGCTCCAGCCACTGAGCTGTCATTCCCCTGCCACATCTTCTGGCTGCTCATGAAGCCATTGCTTGTTGTGCTGTGGATGCTGGGGTCCCTCGTGTCCCCTCTTGCACACCAAGACAATAAGTTGCCCTGGCTCCCTGCTCAGACCCAGTACTGTGGCTGCTGGGAACAGTGAAGAGGAGGAGAAGGAGAAAAAAGGCTGCAGCTACTCTGGGCTCCCATGGGGCTCTACAGTAGGTTTGGACACAAAGATCATGAGACTTCAGCTGGACCGTGGCCAGCCCCAGCCCTGCAGCTCCACCTCCCTTATGTCCCCTCCACCACAGTGCCACAACATGCCTGCCACAGCCCTCTGCACAGTAGCACTACAGTTCTGGCCAGGTACCCTTGGACAGATGCAAGAGGCTTTCACCCCTTTCCCACATCTCCTGTATGGCAACGGCACAGGGGCTGGCTTGTCACTGCAGCCCCAACAGTGACAAGTGAAGCCATTCACTGCCCAGCCAGGTCAGAAGCCATGGGCCTCCGCACTCTGCAGTGCGAGATTAATTGAAAACAACACACACATCTGCCCCAGCCCCATCCCATGGGTCCCCCTGGCTCCGATGGCCCTGGCAGTGCACATCTGGAAGGGCTTTAGCAGGCTCTGAACAGAGCCATAATAAAAGCCAGGTTGGATGCTGCTAGTGCTGCAGACCTTACCCTGAGCATGTCACGTTCCTGAGGCCACCTGCCACACTACAGCCCCCTGCTTCCATCACTGCCCCACAATGGAGATGGCTCAGCTGGAGTCACCAAGCTGCCCTGCAGCTGGGGCTGGCCCCTGTGCTCCCCAAAGCCTACCCACATCCCCACAGGGCAGTGTCTTGCCCAGCCTAGTCCCCACACATGGGATGAATGTGAGCATCTGCCCATGCAACGCTGGCAAACACCCAGCCTCAGCAACTGTCACCATCACCAAATCCTTCTCCTGCACCAAAGGGAGCTGCCTCACTCCAGCACAACCCAGTAATGTCCCCAAGCTGACAGAGAGGATGGTGCAGGTGATACACTGCAGTCCCAGATGCCAGGTGCTGTGCACAAGCTTTGTGCTGAGCTGGATGCATGCATCGCCCTGCAGCCAGGCAAATGGGTCACAGGTGTCTCTGTGGGACAAGTCCCTCCTGCCCACAAGGACAGGGCTGTGACAAGTCCATGCTGAGGCCAGCACAGAGGCTGCGTTCACTGCTGGTGGCAGGGAGACCCATGCAGTGGCCCCAGGAGCTGAGATGCTGCCGGGCACATCCCTTCTTGTGCCTCATCCATGAGGTCACTCGATGCCTCAGCCTGGGGTGAAGCCATTCTGAGCATTGCAGTGACTCACCAACATGGCGTCACCCTGTGTCACCCTGGAAGTGAAATCCCAGCAGAGTTGCTGCAGTTGGGGCCATTCCACATCATTTTGGTATCTGAGGGCACTCAGCCTGGCCTCCAGGAGCAGCCCAGTGAGCAGAAGTTGCTCTAGATTCCCCAACCAACTCCTTGCCCACAGAGCTGGCAGTGCCAGAGCTGTGCCATTGCAGCACAGCAGCCCCCATGCTAGCCCAAAGCAAAGCACAGTCCAAAGCAGCAATTCACAGCCCCATCCAGCAGGATGCAGGACGTGCTCTCTGCACACCAGGACCCTGCACACAGACTTGCTGTAGCCGAACTCCTTAGCAGGACAGCTCATGGTGACACAGCCTCTGCTTTCCCGTCTGCCCCGCAGCAATGGGAAGCACAACCGCTCGGCTTTTGACCCAGCAACAGCCCCCGGCAGCCTCCGGCACAGCCCTGCCGCCCCTTAATCCCCGGGAGTGGCGGCTGCTCAAAATCGAGGTTAATGCTGCTGCGTCACAGCCAGCCCTGCTGTCACTGAGCCCCCTGTGCTGTTGACAAACTGAACCCACACGTGCCAGGGCAGCTCCTGTCCACCAACGCTCTGAGCCAGCACAGGAAGAAAGCCCCTGGTGTCACACAGGACAGCCTGAGATGGTGCTGTCCCCCCTGTACATCATCATATCCCAAAGACAGACAGCACTGATGGGGCTGCAACGCAGCTGCAACGCAGCATCAGAGCAAGGGTTAGGGTAGGGGGGCTGCAAGCCAGGCAGCACCTACCCCCCATGGGGGAGTGCAGCACACTGAGGTGCTGTGTTTCCTCCCGGCCACTCGTGGGGTGTTACACCCCAAGCACATCCCAACCAGCGCAGCACAAAGCAGCTCAGCATCCCCCAGGGAAGAAGGAAAAGAAGAAAACAAACACTGAGAAGGCAGCTACTTCTAAAAGCTCCCAAAGCATCCAAACAGAGCATGCAGAACCATCTCCCCAAAGCAAGCGGGTAGCGAGGCACCCCCACAGCCACAACCCCCCTCAGCCAAAAGCCACAGCATGGGAAAGCCATCCGTGTGCCCCTCACCTCCTCCCGGTCCCCCCGCACCTTCTGTCGCAGCAGCTTGCTGCGCACCCGGCCCCAGAGGCGGGCGCCAGTGGTGGGGGGCCGTTTGCCATCAGGTTCCTCTGCACCCGGCTCCAGGTGCTCCCCCCCAGGATTGGGGCCACTGTCCGGCTGCACCAACACGTCGGTCATCACCACCGCTTCGTCTCCGCGGACGCGAGAGGAGAGGTTGGAGGACCCGAGGATGGCCCGAGTGGGGGTTAGGATAGCACTGGCATTCCCGCTGCTGGGGCACGGAGCTCAGCGATGGCCGGGGACAGCCCAGCTCAGGCAGCAGCAGGCTGGGCTCATCTTCAGGGTGTGAGCCAGGCTGGCGAGAAGCGGCTCGGCAGCCCCAAAGCCTCCCTCCCACTGCGAGGAAGTGACTCAAAGCAGCCCCCCCGGCGTCCCCCACGCGTTAACTCCCGCCCTGCCGCCCGCCGTGCTGCTCAGGAGGGTTGCGCAGCCTTGCCTGACACGGCTGGGGACACAGCACCGGAGCATTCCCAGCTCCCCGAGCAGCCGGGCTGGGCCTGGCAAGAGGCACGGGGTTGGTGCTTTGAGGATTGCCCTGCCAAGCTCTGGGGAACAGGGATCCCTCTGCACCGCCCCATCCCTTCCTGGACCTCGTCACCTCCACTGCTGGGGGAGCGAGCAGGGGACAGAGTGTGGCAGAGAATGGAGATGGGGTGTGCTGCCCTGGAGCATCACCACTGCTCCTCATGGCACACAAGGACAGAGCACAGTGATAGTGTGGGGACTTGCACAGTCCCTTGTCCCCATGGGGCTCAGCACCAGGAAGGATCCAGCCCCCAGGCCTGCATGGAGCATCCCATGAGTCCCTGCAGACCCAGTAGAGCCCCAACACCACAGATCTCCCCCTGTGGAGCCTCTGCCAGCTCTGCATCAGGGGGGCTAGCCAGGGGGTGAACTGCAGGAACTGCAGGCACCGTGCCCATGACAACACAGCCTCCACTTCCAAAGCTGCATCTCTTCCCCCTGCCCCAAAATGCAGCCATACAGCCAAGAAAGGGCTGCTCCCTCCTGCTCCATGACCCCTGGCTGCCCCCCAAGGCTCTGACCCCTCCTGATGCACCCACTGCCCAGCCCCTTGCCAACCTCAGCCCAATGCCTTCTGCTCCTCACTGCCAACTAGAACCAACACCATCTCAGAGACCAAATAAGAGCTATCCTAGGCAGCACCCCTGCCTTAGCAGCTCAGAGAACAGAGTAAGGATGCAACAATGCAGGTACCCGCAAACAGCAGTGCCTGTCCTGCCCATACCTGCTCCATTCCATTCCCAGTCTTTAACCGTGCTGGTTCTGTTGCAGCCAGTCCTGCCCAGAGCAATGGGGCCGGGTGATGGTTGGACACCCCTGTCCCAGTGTCAGAGACACCACTGCATCCAGCCAATTCTTCCTTAGGGCAAGCAGCCCTGAGGCCTGTTATCTCTCCCTTTCTTCCTCCAGGACTTTTGCATAGCAGAGACAAGCTGTGCTGTCCCCATCTTGATCCCTGCGTCTCTCAGCGTGACTCATGTTTGTTGACACGGGCTATTTCAGAGAGTGCAGCTGGGCTGAGCCCTGCGAGGCACTGAGCCCCTTCCTCGGCCTCTTGCACACTGCTTGACCCCACATCACCCCTGCCCTGTGCCAAGGAGGGCAACAGATGGGCAATTTTGGGTATGAATGAGCCCAGCCGAGCCCCATCTCCCATCTTGCACCCAGTCTGGTGCTGACCCCACTTGGTGCCTCCATCTCAGCAACGTTTCTGTGCTCCTTCCTCCCTCCCCAGGGACCTGCCCTCAGCTACTTTCCCATGGAGCAGACAGCCATGACAGGCACTTAGAAGCACAGGTTGAAGAGACATGTCCCCAGAATGATGCTGTCCCCAGCATAGCAGGGAAGGCAGTCAGAGCAGGGCTCCTGCCACGAATCAAGGTGAGCATTCCCTGTTGTCCTGCTACTGCTCACCTGGGAGCATCTCAGGGCATCCAAGGCCTCCATCCTCCCTGCCTGGTAACCTCCAATCAGAGGCAGCTCAGCTGTTGCCTTGGAAACACCCGTTGCCATAACAGCAGCTGATGGAGGCGCAGGCGAGGCAGATGGTGGCAGAGGGGGACAGCCGTGGCCGGCGGAGTGGGACGGCTGTGCTGGCGTGGGAGATGTGGGGCAGCATGCTCAGAGCCCTCCTTGGGGCAAGCAGGCAGCCAGCTCACAGCCCCATCTTGGACAGAGCAGCCCCATTCCTGCAGCCCTCTGCCACCGGGGAAGAGTTGGATGCAACCTTCAGGGCAGTCATGGGCTTTGCCACCTCCCCAGGATCCCTTTGTGCTCTGTGCCTCTGCTAAGGCTATTGCAAGCAGGGATCATCACCCAAAGGCCAGATACACACCAGCAGACCAGTCCCAAGAGGGTGAGAAGACGCCCGAATGCCCCAGCACATACCTGGATCTGCCCCTTGCCCATGATCTTGTCCACGATTTCATTGTTGTCCTTGTTGAGCTTGGTCTTGTCGTAACATTTCTCATAGCAGAGGATGCGCAGGGACTGGGAGCCTTCCAGTTCAATCTCAAACTCCTGGGGAGAGGAGAGAGGATGGCTCAGAACCAGCACTCAAATCAGCTTCAAAGCCTGGGCTGGAAGGTGAGCATGGTCTTTTCCCCACATCCCACAACCTACTCTCACCTCATTCCACTGCGGCTCTGTTGTGTCCCGGAAAACCCTGGTCTTGGCTTTGCTGACAAAATAGCCGAAGGAATCCACCTCCAGTGTGCAGTACAGGTCTGGGGGAAGAGAGAAGGCTGAGCATCCAGAAATGCATGTACTCACTGCCAAACCATGGCACACTGGGACAGAGCGGGGCCACATGCAGGACCGAGCTCCCTCCCCAGTCCCTGCACACGAGGACAGGTGCCCACACTTACTGGCTGACTGCTTGAAGCCCTTGGCAGAGTGGACGATGACGTGCAGGAACCCATAGAGCCCAGGGGACTCATCGTCTGCAAGACAGGGGGATGCGTTAGGGCTCTGGTTTTTACCATCCAGGCCCCGGGTGACACTCCAGTGTCCCCAGTCCTCTGCAGGGCTGTCTCAGAGGTCTGGGGAAAAGCCAAGCATCGACCCCTCCCCATCAATAGCCCCACTAGGCATCCCGATGCTGGAGGGATGCTCCCACCCCAAAGCCAGCCCCATGTCACACCTGGGAGTGCTGCATCCAGGAGCCCAGCTGTGCTCCCGCAGTGCCACCTGCTGGGGACATGTCCCCATGCACAGCCAGGACCACCGCAGCAGGGACCTCACACCAGGCCAGGGACACAGCATGTCCACCCCACTGACACCACCGTGCAAAGAAGGGCCACCGGCCCGGTCATCACTCACCATCCTTATTGCTGGTGACCGGGATGTTGTGGACAGTGCGTAGCTTGAAGCAGGACCCTGTCAGCACCTGCAGCTCCACCGAGCTCAGCACAAAGGCTTGGAGGTCTGCAAGAGGACAGCAGAGGAGCTTCAGAGGGACATGGCCAGCACTGGCCCCAGGGACTGGATGGCAGTGGCTGCAATCCCTTGGCACCAACCCATCCCAGCATTCTGGAGAAAAGACGACCCATGGGGGCCTCAACAGGACAAGAATTACCTTTTTTCTGCAGTTTCTGAATGGCCTCCCTCCATTCGGACCTCTCGTAGTCAGAGGACAGCAGGAACAAGTAGCTCTGGAAGATAGAAGGCAATGCTGCAGGGCTGACTTGTCCCTCCTTGGCCAGTACAGCCCTGTCCTCTCACCTGCAGCCCTGCTTACCTTTCCGTTGCGGTTGTGGATGCGGAAGGGAATGGCTGGCGAGTTGAGGAGCAGCCAGAACTCATTCTCAAACATCTTCTTCTTGAGGCGCTCAATGGCACGGCTCTGCCCTTTGTTGGCTTTCTGCAGGCAGGGAGAGGACACAGAGGCTGAGTCGGTCAAGGACAGGCAGGCAAGATTTCATCAGTGTCCCATCCCAGGATGGGGATATCCTGGCACTTCATAGGCATCCCATGCTCTCCTCTCACCTCCTTCTGCACCTCACTCTTGATGGCTGAGATCTTCATTTTCATGTCCTCCAGCTCGTGGTCGGGGATGACGTGCACCTGAGGGCAGTGCTCCGACTCCTCCAGTGAGGGGAACACCAGGTCGGCCAGGGGCACGTACCACTTACAGTCGTACTGCTGGTGCTTCCTGCAGCCGAGGTGTGAGCACTGAGAGATCCACTCAGCCCTACTGGATCCCACAGGAGGCTGAAGCATCCAGCCCATCTCCCTCCAAGTGCCCTTCTTACCCCACGGCTGTCTTCTTCAGCTTGGCGCAGAGCAGCACGTCGGTGAAGAGGAAGACGTGCCGCAGCTTCCGCGAGCCCTCTGACAGCTCCACCAAGAAGCCGTCCTTGATGAGCTGCCGGGTCTGCAGGGAGCAGGGTGGGTGTCAGAGAGGGAAAAGAGCACAGGGTGGCACACACAGACACCCCTGTCCCTCCCCATGTCTCATCCCATAGGTCCACGTCCCCTTGGTACCATTCTGTCTCCCTGAATGTCAGAAGGGTGCCAGCAAGCAGCAAGGGCCAGGGCTCAACCGCCCCCCTGCCTGTCTCACCTCCCCCTTGGGAGTGGTGACCGCTGTCCTCCGGGGATCGATGTCCTCATTGATGCTGGAGAGGAAGTTCTGTGAGATGCGGAGGGCGTCCTGCAGCAGTGGGTAGTCGGGGTGGTCAGACGGGGTGTGCTTGAGGAGGTCCTGGATGGGGTGAGGATGGAGTAAGCTTGGGTTGCCCCCCACAGCGCTCCCCAGGCAGCAGCAGGACATGGCTGGTCCAGCTGGGGGACACAGCCATCACAGGTCACCTCATCCCTTCCCGCCCCAGTACTGGCACCACACTCACGTGCAGAACAAGGGTGCTCCGGGTGACACGGTCAATGGGTTTGTACAGCAGTGCTGTGGGAGACACAAGGTGTCAGTTGGTACTGCCTGGGGGAGCTCAGCTCCTCACAGCCAGAATCTTTCTCAGTTTCCCTTTTTACTCCATGCTGGGTCCCGTGCAGCACCCACCCAATGAGATGCTCTGCAGCTCCCTTCAGCCCCAGCAGCAGGACCTTCCGTCTCATCATCCCCCTGTGGTGCTGGGTCCCAGCAGCCTACAGCTGGTTGCTTGCACATCCCTCTGGGCTATTTATACCCAGATTGAGGCATCTGGATTTTCCCAGTGACTTGGATCACTTCCTCAAATTGCAGAGCCCCAGTGGGGAAGCGCTGCAACCGGGAGAGGAAGAGGGAAACGTGCTGACCCCACACCGCACTGTGAGTCATGGAGAAGCTCCCAAGGAGCCTGGAGGAGGGTGCTGTCTGACAGCCCCAGGAGACAAGGGAAGGGGCCCTCTGTCTGAGAGAGGACACGGGACTGTCCCCCACGGCAGCCACTTCCCACACCTCGGAAAGCTGGAGTTCTCGCAGCACTCAGTGAGAGCCAGGAGGGAGGGGACGCTCAGCGTGTCGCCCCGCCTTGCACGCAGGGAGGACGCAGCCTCCTGCTGCCATCGCTACGGGAAACACACAAAGCACCTGGGATCCAAACGCATTCCCAGGAGGGGTGATCCGGCACAGCACCAACCCCCTCTCCAGCACCGTCCCTATCACCGCAGTCCCCGGGGGCTGGATGACAGCAGGCAGAGAGGCAGTGAGCCAAGAAGGGCGTCACAGCCTCAAGATGCTCACAGCATCCAGCGAGCAAAAAGAGGACCCTTCCCCATCGCAACCTCTGCTCAGAGCCCCGTTGAGCAGCTCTCTCCCCATCCCCACAACCAACACGAGCCCCAAGGGCCAGGTGAGCGCGTGGCCACGCTGCCAGAGCCAGGCGGTTCGACAGAGCCCAGAACAAAGAAGAGCCCAACTCCAGGTTGCAGAGCACAAAGCCACCACCGTCCCGCAAAGACGTCGGCCCCTCAGCAGGTCAAACGCTCCCCCCGCACCACAGCCCCCACCAGCCCTCACCGTAGGTGCAGTTACAGCAAAGCCGGATGATAACGAGGATTTCCATGGCAGCCCCTTGTCTGCGCAGCCATCCCTGCCTCCCCTCAGCAGCTCAGCCCAGCTGCTGCGCCACGGCATCGGCCCCCAGCACAGCTCCCAGCGCAGGAGGAGGGGGTGGGCAGGGGGTGGGGGGCTGCTGCACGCCCCCAACGTCCTCGCGAGGGGCGTCCCCCCCTACTCAGTGCCAGCGCTGCGCATGGGAACGCAAAAGGGCTCCGCTGCCGGGAGCTGCTTGGTAATGCACCCGCAGACAAAAGGCTGCAGCCCCCTCCCCACGCCCGCCCCTCTCATGCCATACCCTCCATGGTGACGGACGTGTGGCTCTCCTTCGAGTCCTTGGGGCCTTTCACCTTCAGTTCCTAGGGAGGGAAAGGGCAGCAAAGCGGGGCTGGGGCAGGGATTCATCAAGGTTGGGAGGCTCTGCACCAAGACTCTCCCCCAGCCCCATGGGGCCTTGCCATAAGCACGGGGTGCTACTAGCTAGGGGTGGATCCAGCCATTCTCCCAGGTTTCCCCAAAGCAGTATCATACTGCTGGTCCCACTGAGGGGTCCCAAACTGGGGTGCAAAGCGTGCAGGATTCAGAACAACACCCAGTGAGCACCGCCACCCCACACAGCAAGAGGTGGTTCTGCTTTACACATAGTACCCAAAAGTCCCCAGGGCAGGGGGAAACTCTCTATAGGGTACATGTGGTCAGCACAGCTGTAGGAACAAAGTTCCCTTCCCCACCCCATGACACACACTCCAACCCCATAGCATGACCCCAGCCCCACTCACCTCAGAGATCTTCTGGAACTGGTTATTGCTATGGCTGCACTTCTCAGCTGTTTCCAGAGCAATTTTGTAGTTATCCACAAAGGCCTTGTACACCCCGAGCTGGCTGGCCTGTGAGCAGGGGGGGAGTGGGGTCAGCCAGGTGCCCACAGTGCCCCTTGTACCCCCAGAAGCCAGGCAGGGCCATAAACCACCTCAGTCTGTCCCTCAAGCAGAAGGGGATGTGGATGACCCAGCCGAGCAAGGAGCATACCAGCTTCTGGAAGAGGTGGCCCATGGTGATGTTGCTGTCCCACTGCTGCACCTTGGGGCACAGGTTGTCATAGAACTCCTTGTGGATTTCGTAGATGTCCTGAATCTTGTAGAAAATGGTTTCAATCTGCTGCAGGGTGAGGACGGGCTGTGATGTAGTGGCTGTGGCCTTCAGCGGCTTCATGGGCTGCCGAAGGAGAAGGGAGAGCGTCTGAGAGCTGGGCCCCAAGGACTCCTCCAGCCCAGCAATGAGGACAGCTCTGGGACAGCCCTGGCCCCCAGCAAGAGGGGCAGTAACTGCAGGGTCTGCTCCCTCTTCCTGCATCCTCAGACTTGCCCATCCCAGCAGCAGTGATCCTCATGTTATGCAACTGCATCTCCACTGCGAGGGCCAATGTGGCCATGGGAGGAAGCAGGGCTACAGACACTTCTGTGCTGGGCAGGCTGGCAAGGACTGCCCAGGAAGGAGGGTCCCCACCCCCCATCCCTTCTGGTGACCCCCTTGGGGAGGGGGCCCGGCTGTGCTCACCAACAGGAGTGCCTCCAGCTGGTTGATGTAGATCTCCTCGCTGGCCAGGAAGCCGGAGAGCACCAGCTTCCGCATCTCAAGCCCTTTGCCAGCATCTCGCTCGCCCTGTGCAACACAGCAAGGAGCCTGGCTCAGCCAGCAGTCAGCATGGCTCAGAGCCCTTCATCCCCCAGCCCCAGCATCTCACGAGGACACATCCCTTCCAGCATAGAGACACCGCAGCAAGGGCCGGGTACGTGCCTGCAGGACAGCACGGCCAGGCTGGGAAGCTGGGGCGGCACCGACTTGCTTGGCCTTGAGCCCAGCACTGTAGGCAGTGCTCCAGGGCGGCACAGTGAGGAAAAACCCTCCCAGGGCAGAGTCCACAGGCGCCCAAAGAAACCATGCCTTAAGGCTGGCTTTGTAAGCCAGCACCACCCTCTTCCCAGCTGGGTTTTCTCTGGGAAAGTGCCACCCCTGCGGTCACCACTGGCCTCTGCGTCACTGCTTGGTGGCATCAGGGCAGGCCCAGTGCCAGGGCACAGCACTCATCCATGCACACCAGAAGCTTCTGCTCTGCTCAGAAGAGATGCACCTAGCCGTGACATCAGGCACAGGCACAACCCTGAACGCTTCTCTCAGGCTTTGGACTGCCTCAAACCCACGTTGTGCTCCAAATTCCCATCCCAGCACTAAAGCTCACTCTCAGGAGCTGGGCTTTGCCAGCCAGAGCAGCACCAGGCAGAGACACAGCCCTGCCTTAACCCAGCTGTTACAACCTAATTTGGAGAGCGAGAATCACAACTACCAGCTTGTTCCTCCAAGCAATTTGGGATGGCTAAGCAGGACCACGGTCCTCTCTCTCTGCCAGCCCTGGGCACCACACCAAAGGTACAGCAACAGCAGCCTCGCTCGGATGCCATAAGCAGCATGAGCAGCCCCCCCCCGGATGGAAGCACAGCCAGGAAGCACACAATTCTCCTGTCTCACCCCATGTGGGCACCGCTCAGTCCCGTCCCATCAGCCAGCTCAGAGCTCAGTGCTCCCTGCCCAGCAGTACCATTAAGGCCAGGCTGCAGGGAGCTCTGTGCGGGGAGCACAGGGAGCCTGCTTGGTGCTGGCAGGCTCGTTGCCACCATTAGTCACGGGCTCTTCCTGCTTCCCCTGAGGCTGGGCCCTGCGTGAGAGCTGAGGAGATAAGGGGGGCACATTTGCACCCAGAGCCCGTGATGCCCCTGGGGACAGTGTCAGTGGGACCCCCATGGCCCCAAGGGGCAGAAAGTCCACCCTCACACAGGGTCCAGCGGCCACCCTGTGAAGGAGACCCCAAGGAGAACAGAGATGGAGACCTCCTCCTCCACCCCCCCATGAAGCAACCATGCTAGGTGGGCTAGAAGTCAAAGGGCTGTAGCTAGAGACACCCGGACGCCTCCCTGGCCAAAGTACCAGGGCTGGGAGCTTGCTCATGGTTGTGCAGTGAGTCAGTGGCACAGAGTGGTCCAGCCTCATCTCGAGCATCCCAGCTCCACCAGCACAGCAGCCCACCCCAGCAGGTACACACAAGCGCAGGCTGAGCTCTTGGCACTCAATTCCCTCCCCACCCCTGCCCTGGGAAACCTCACACCCAAGCCCCCTAGGCCCATGCCAGCAGCAGCAAGGAGCCCATTTCCATCCCCACCCCATCCAGCACTGAAGCAGGGTGTCCCATGGGTGCCCACCTTCTCACTGGCCGAGAATGGAGACCCGGGACTGGTGGGGGTTCCTGGCTCAGAGTCATCTTCATCCTCCAGGACTTTATCCAGGTACCCTATGGCTTCCTCTTCCTCCTCCATGGCCTGCTGGGCACCAGGGGGGCTGCAGGGATCCCACAAGGCTTCGGACGTGAGGACTTACGCAGCCGAGCCAGCCGGGCTTGACTCAGCCCTGGATGCCGGCCACAGCCTCTGGATGAAAGGAGCCATTATGGGATCCCCGGTGCTCCCGCCTGCCCCAGCTCAGGCCGTCGGCCCCGCTGCGGGGCTCCCCCCACGCAGCAGCACAGCCACCCGCGCGTGACGGCAGCGGGGACGGCGAGGTCACCCGAGCAGAGACGGAGGAGCTGCTTGGCTCTGCCTTGGCCAACGCTTTCCCCGGGTGCTCCGCCAGCAGTGTAGGGCCGCTGCCCGCCGTGCCGCTCCGCTCTGCTTTGCAGCCAGCGCTGCCGCTCCGCCCTGCGCTCTCGCTACAGGAAATGCACGTCTGGTGTGGAGGTGGGGCTGCTCACACTATGGTCAAGACAGCTCGCCAAATGTTTTTTTCGGAGTTACAGCACTGGGGAAGCCAGAGATCAAGAGGGAACTCCATGGGGAGAGGTCCCCAACCCTCCATCTACACCCCCACGCCCTCCCCGGACTCGCCAGCCAGAGCAGCAAGCAACAGAGCACCATTCTGCCTGCTATCACCCATGAGTATCCCCATGAAGGGGGAGAGCTGGACCACGGGATTCTCCAGTGACCTCTGAGGGCAGCAGAAGGGATCATGTCCCATTAGGACATCTTACCCCCCACTCTGAACCCCACAGATGAAGGTTCCTGGGCCCCTCCCTGCTCCAGAGGAAACTTCAGCAGGGAAATGGTGCTGATGCACGGTACTTCTCAGAGCACCTGGTCTACATCTAGCAATTCCGCAGGGCCTCGCTGGCCCTGGTGAGTGAGGCAAGAAGGGACTGGAGATGCAGATATCTGGAGGAGGTAATGCAAGAGCCATTTCAGCTGTTTTCCCACTCTCCTCTGCAAAAAAAAAAAAAAGAAAAAAAAAAAAAAAGGGGAACCAGTAGTTGCGGATGCTCAGCCCCCACAAGCTTCTCGCCTCCCTACTCCTTTCAAAACCTGAAACAAAGCATTGGTGCATGAAAAAATGGAGGAAGAACTTTCTGGAGCCCTGCCCTGCATCCACACTGCACCACAGGCTTTTCACATTTGGTAAGAGAGCTCTTTCCCAGGACCCCAAAACACAGCAATTGGATCACCAGGGTGGGGAAAGCCATCTTCAGCACCAAACCAGCAGCACCCTGTGCTGTGGCCGCAGCCTCTGCCAGGATGCTCGTGGCTGCAGGTGGGATGGGCTGGTCCCCATGCAGCTGGGGGAGTTCTGGGATCAGTTGCTGTTTCACAAGATGAGACCCTGCCAGAAACCTGCCAAGCTGGAGGTGCCACCTCCAACACCAGGTGGATATGGGATGTCAGGCTGAGCCAGTCACCCTATACCACCCAGACAATAGGCTCCAGCTTACACACATGTACCCACCTAGAGGCACTCCAAGACCACAGCTGCTGGCACCCAAAGGCACTCTCCCTAAGCCCCAGCCCAAGCAGCTGCAGATAAAGGGATCAGAGGCAGAGCTGGCGCTGAGCTCTAAAGCCCCCAATCCTGTTAGTGCTGGACCAGCACTGAGCTGAGATGGCCACTGAGGTGGCATCACTGCCTCAGAGCAGAAGGCAACACCCTCTGGACTACCCAGAGTCCCACTGCTTCCCCAGGACCACCCTGCCAGGGGATGAGACTCCTTTGCAGTGGGGTACCAGGGTGGGGGCTGACTCACTCCCATGTTGGTGAGCCAGGGGACCATGCCTGGGGACACAGCAGCTCAACAAGGGATGATGGGACCTGTGGGATCCACGTGGGACTGGACACAGAGGATGCTGCACAGCACCCGTACCCTGGGGAGGAAGCCACACCTCTGTGCTCCTCCGCCTCAACATCCGGGTTAGGGCTTTAACTCCTTCCATGACAAAAACCTCCACGTTTTCCACACTGCCTCCTCCCATGTCCCTGTCTCCACCGTCCTCCAGAAAGCAGTCGCTATGCACAGGGAGCAGAGGTAGCCAGTGCCACGCCAAGGGGACAGCAGCTCCCAGGCCCGTGGGACAGCACTGCACCCCTTGGGTTATAGAGAAACCCTAATTCTGGAAAAAACCACCCTCTATTTTCAATTTCCCACTCCAAAGCTTTCCAAATTTCCCTTCTGGGAAAGGCGACGGATAAAAACCCAGCAGATCTACGAGGATGCTCGAGAGCTCAAGGAGTTAAATCTGAGTTTCCTTTTAAAGAGAAAGGGGTGGACACGGTGTCCCACTGCAGCTGGCAGGCTGTCCCCAAGCGCCACTAGATGGAGCCTGCAGCATGGCTCTTTGTCCCCTCACAGAGGGGCAGGGGCACAGCAGTCCATCCCAACACCTTCCCAGCTGGGCTCCAGCACCCAGCCCCTGCTGTCTGGGGCAGTGTCACCAACGTGACCCATGGACACCGCACCATTCCCAGCCCTGGGGTTGGGAAGCCGAGCAGTCACATGCATCACAGCAGCACCAGAACATCATCAGGAAAGAAGGCACATCCCAGCCCCAATTTTCACAGGTCCTACTGCCAAGCTCAGTGCCCAGCCCACCTACCCCTGTGTTGAGCCCATCGGTGGGTGTGGGTGAGACGCCATCTCCGCTCTCCTGGCCCCGAGCGCTGAGCTGGGGGGACATGGTGGGTGACTCGTCGATGTAGGGCATGGTTTCCGAGCCTTCTGGCAGTGCTTTGGGCTCCTCGTTGCCCTCAGCATCGTAATCTTCTGCACCATAGTTGAAATCTGCCAGAAGAAAAGATGGCGGTGAGCATCCAGGAAGGAGATGGGCGATGTGGGGACAGGGACACCAAGCATTCCTGGTCTCCGTCTCACCCCTCAGGGGCTCACAACCCCGCTCCCAACCCTCGAGGCCACGCAGGGACAAGGACACCCGCTCCACACAGCTGCCACTGCCCACCTGCCGACCAGCAGCTCTTTTCCCTACATTTACATAATTCATGCTGCCGGGAAGCCGCAGGCCGTGTCTGTGTGGGGGCAGCTGCTCCTCCAGACAGCCCGGCCCTGCGCCAGCAGCCCTGCCCTCAGCGCCGGCGAGCAATGGAAGCGGGCTGGCATCCAATCCTCCTCATCCTCACCGCATGCCGGTGAGGGGGACACGGCCACCCCGCCTGGAAGAATGGGGACAACAGCAACCTGGGGCACGCGGGAGTGATGCCAACACAGCGACTTGGGACACGGCAGAAGGACTCTGCTCACCCTCACGTTGCCACCAGGCCACGCTCCCCCCTTTCCCCCACACACACATAGAGCCATTCTGGGGAGCCTCAGCCCTCGGTGTGAGCTGAGAATGGCCAAGCAGCAGCGCGAGGCCTGGGGGCTGCAGGGAGGGCCCAGGGCGCAGCGGGGGCCGGGGTACAGCCGAACCGGTTCCCATGGCAACGGCAGCACTCGGCGGGAAGAGGCGGCTGCAGCAGCCCCGAGATGCTGACAAAGGGGAGGGGGAAGGGAGCCCGGCTGCGGCACAGGAACCCCCCAGTACCTTGCAAAGAGGATGAGGACCTCACCCCGAGCCCTTGGGGTGTCCCCATGGCTGAGATCCCCGCTCAGAAGGGCGCTGGGCTGCATCCATCCCAAGCCAAACCCTGCACTGTTGTCGCTTCACTGCCCCACAGCCTCAACTGGGGAGTCCCCCGGCTCCCGCCAGCGTTGCTTGTCCCATTAATATTGCATTCAGCTCAATATTTAAAGTGGATAAATCTTTAAATCGAAGAGCACAGGGCCAGGAGCTGTGCAGTGCTGGCAGGGAGGGACCAGAACTGTCCTACATCCCAGAGCAGGACAGGGAGCCCAGCACAGGACATCCTCATTTTGCCAGGGCAGGGCAGACCAGCCATTCTCAGATCTCTCTTTATTAGCAATTAGCTGCTAACGAGCAACCTCTAGAGGCCTGACACCACCCACCTCACACCACCCACCCTGTGGAAGCCCAAAACCCCTCACACAGACCCTTCACTGGCTAGGGTCTAACGAGGGGAGCTGGGAGAGGGCAAAGCTGAAGGTTCCCCCCTGAAAATCTTCAACCCCATGCTTCTGTCGGCCAAGCTCTGTAGCTTCAGACTGAAGCACAACACCCCAGCCCTGAGCCCACCCCATCCCAACACCCAGAAATGGTGACATGGGTACAGCTAAGGCTATGCCAGCCTTGCCAAAGCCATCGCCTCTATACCAGGGCCACAGCAGCAGCCGGCAGCAGCAGGAGCCCACGCTGAGCCCAGCAGCAGAGCTGGGACCTGGCCACCTCCCCACCCCACTGCCAGCCTTGGGAGCAGCTCGGGTAACGAGGAACACCGTTTTAATGAGGCAGCTGGGGACCTTGCCAACTGCCTCCGGCAGTGAAGGTAGTGACAAAGGCACAGAGGCACAGAAGGGGAAGGGATCAGTCCATGGAGACGCAGGAATGGCCCCAGACCTCAAGCACCCATTGCTTGCCTCCAGCCTGAGCAGATTTCAGCCCCAGGTCTGACCTGGAGAAAAGCTGCAGTGTCCAAAGAAACATGAAAGGAGAGGGACCCTTGGCAGAGTCCTGTACCCACTCAGGAGCCCAGAACACACGGAGGGGAGGGTGCCTGGGCACCCAGGGGACACCGCCAGTGCCATGTCTCCACGTGCACCAGGACCGCAGGACGCCAGGAGGTGTCTTTGGCAGCATCCCAACCTTTTCACAGGCTCTCTGAAGTAATCCTCCCATGTCCATAGAGCACAAGTGGCTCCATCAGTGAACTCACTATGAGGACAGATGGACACAAGTCAGGATGTGCTGCAAGCAGGGATCCAAAGGGACGTGCCATCACTCGGTGCACAGATCAGTGCCTAATGCCACCAAGGGAAAGGGACCTTGCCCATGCGTAAGGGACACTGAAGGCCTATGCTCTCCACAGCCCTGCCTGCTGAGCCCAGCGAGCCCAAATCACACTGCTCCCTCCTCCTCCCGCAGCTGCATTGCCCCTGCAGCCTGTTCTTGTGCCCATGCCAAACCCAGAGCTATTTTTGCTCCAGCAGCAGTGGAAACCCTCCTGCTCCACCCAAGATGTGGGGACAGAGGAATCAGAACCCACTCTACAGCCCCCTCACCCAAATCAGCCATGGCCTGGGCTCCCTCAGCTGTGCTGCAGCTCCTAGCCCCCAGTACCCCAGGCTTGTGCCTGAGGGACACTGGCACCATTGGGGTCCCACAGCCAGGGTGGGGTCAGAAATACGTCCCCACATGGAAAATCACATCTCAGCTCTGCCATCCAAGCTGATGCCAGCTTGAAATGA